CCCTTTTCCATCTGCTCAACATGCACATGAAGGGCTGCTTCCTGCACAAACCTGTGACTCCAGCTTTCACTGTTTTCCACCTTGAACGTCATCCTGAGGGTTGGAGGAAGTGCAGCGTAGTGCAGAATCAGGTGGGAGGAGGCGGGATCAGGATGGAAAGGTGCTGGCAGACGGAGCCCCAGCCACCCCCAACAGCACTCTGCTAGAATAGTGGCTGCACCCTAGTCAGAACCAGAAACAGGGCCTTGTGCATTTTCTCGAGCCACCCTCCTCTTCTTCCCACTCCCAGCCTGCCCAGCTCTTCTGGGACCCCCCAGCTTGTTCTGGGTCCCTGAGATGGGCTAAACCTCAGTCTTCTGAGGGGGCTTTACCGGGTCAGTGCCTAGGCCCATAGAGGGAGAAAGAGCCCAAGAAGCATGTTTGTCAGAGGGTCTCTGAAGTGCTTGGGATAACTTGGACAAACCTCCACCTGGGAGAATTCTGGAGAACATGAAATCCCTTTCCCTAGCTGCCCTTCTTTTAGTGTTCACTCAGTCTCTATCTGTGGAGTGACTTACTTCACAGCTATCTCCCCTAGCATGGAACAAGAAGAAGAGTGACAGGGTTTAGTTCTTATAGTCCTCAGGTCCAATTCTGGCTTTACCTCTCTCCTGCTAAGTGCTGTTGGGCAAGTAGCAAATCAGCAAATCCTCAGTTCCCTTCTCTGTAAAATGGGCAAAAGAGATTTACTTTTATAGTAAGCCTACCTTAGTTACTGTGGTAGACACTTGGGACCTGAGGATGCCAGAAAGAGCCTCCAGGAGACAGTTCAGTCTAGGTTTGCAGAGTTTGGGGTGATGGGACAACTCTGGAAGGGCTAGGCATGATGAATGTGTGAATCACCATGTCTGAATACAAGAGGGGAAAGAGAGTAGGTACAGAAATTTCCAGTATTCCCAGTGACCTCTCTATACCATGGTCTGACCTATAGCTGTGAGATGCCCTGAAGAATGAAGAAACAGGGCATTGATCCATGGCCCTACCTACAGGACAGGTCTATCCCCAAGAAAGGGGAATTGGACAAAGGGTCAGTGTATCTGTGGATTCAAGCTTAGAGAAAGAAATCTGCTTTGTCTTTCATCGGGGAGGGCTTCTAGGAGGAGGTGGGCTTACCCAGGGCCTTGAACATTTCCATACATTTGTTTTGCAATTACTTCTTCAGCCTCACTATGTATCTTGAGCTGCAGAGATGAATGATCTTGAGTCTTAGCCGTCCAGGTGCTCCCAATGTGGAAAGGACATAGAAAGAGCTAATTATTAACCCCAAACAATGAGTTGTCATAGTTCCTGGGAACATAGAAAAGATTGTGGGAGGCAATGAATCTTCGATTAGGTACCTTGAAGATAGAAAATGTAAGGAAAAGTGATCCAGGCAGAAGGAACAGCTGTGCAAAGCCTCCTAGGCATGGAACCACTATCCTGAGGGTATAGGGAAGGAAGAAGGTGGGGTGTGTCTAGATTGTTCAGTGGAGCACATTACATATTGTTGTCACATCGCTGTGCTCAGAGGGAGGCCACTGTAGCCTGGTGGGAAAGGACAGGTCAAGGGCTTTAGTTCTCAATGCTTCCATGCTTCTTCTCTCAAGAAATGGGGATTTTAATGGTTCTGGAGATGGGGTAGATAAACTTCCTGACACAGTGTGTCCTCAGTTAATGTTAGCTATTATTTGCTCCTGACAGCACCCCCAGCAGGGGAGGTCAGAACTTATTATCATCATTTGAAGGGAAAGCACTGAGACCTACCATGGACCTTGCCTTGGGTCACAGAGCTGGGCTTGAGCCCAGGTCATCTGCACAAGTCTACTACACGTGCCCTGATGTGTCTCAGAAGGAGAGAGTGGAAAGAAGAGACAGAATTTAAGTAGACAAATGATGGTAAATTCAGGGGGAGGGAATTCCAGGCCAGAAGAAGCACATGCATGCCTAGACACATTCATGTCATGAATAGTGAAATGGACTAGACACTGGTTCATGGCTGTTGCCATGCGTGTGTGTGTGTGTGTGTGCGCACATGCACACACAGTCATGAGTGTCTGTGCCAAGGGTGGGTCTCCATGATGGGTGTGAGGACCATGGGTGTCCATGTCTGTGGCCTGTTTGAATGTACCTGCCCCACCACCACCCAGCTCCCCTCCCACAGCTCCTGGTGAGCTTGCCCTCAGAAGTCCATTCCTTTTCCAGCAGCTCCCTGGGGCATCCCAGCAGCCCACGGCCCTGTTTGATTCAGTTCATCTATAAATCATGGCTTGCTGAAGAGATGAGAAAGAGTGGGGGCAGAACCCTAGCAAGGGACTGAGTTGGGTCTGCAGTTCACACCTGAGGCCCAGCCTGCTTTCATCTGTCACCTACCCCATATCTGCCCTCCCCCTTCCATACCATAAGCACTCACTGGTGCTTGCTATAGACAAGCCCTGGGCCAGTTCCAACGGGCAGGGGACAGGTACCAGTGCATAGAATTGAGTAAGATGTGACCCCTAACCTCTGCTGTCCTTCAGGGGGAAGTAGAGTGTATCCAGCTCAGCATTTCATTCAACACTCATTGAGCCCTCGCTCCGTGCCCCAGATATTGCTAGCACAGGGTGTGACGTGGTAATGCTATCTATAATAGCTAGCATTTATTGCCCACTTATTCTGTGTCAGGCACGGTGCTAAGCACATTATGTGTGCTAATTCCTTTAAGCCTCATAGTAGTCCTATGAGAACTATACTATTAGCCCTCATTAACAGATGGGAAAACCAAGGCACACAGAAATTAGGTCACACAACTTGGAAGAATCTGAGTTAGAATTTGAGCCCTGGAGTCTGACTGAAGAGCCCTGGAACTTAATCACCACACCCTAAAATAAGGTCACACATTCAGAGGCAGGAGAAATTAATTCCCACTGGGCAGATTAAGGAAGGCATCGTTGAGGTGGTATTTTCATCTGGGGCTAGAAAACTCAAGAGTTTGTCAAGCGAAGTTTGGCATAGGGAAAGAACAGAAGGGGTCCTGGGGCGGGGGTGCATACACGCAAAACAGACAGGCTTGAAATGCTCATCAACACCACTCACAACCCCTTCACTTCCATTTTTTGGGGTGAGAAATGAGATAACGTGCAACCATTAACACTCAACAAATATTTGTTGAGCATGTCTTTGTTCAGGTATAGCCCCTGAGGTGTGGTATACAGTTGGGGCTTAGTAGATGGTAGTCTCCATTGTTATCCTTACTGCCAGATGCCTGGGATTGCTTCTCATTCTTTCTTGCAACAAGCATTTATCAAACTCCTAACTATATGCCCAGCTGCTACTGTGTATGCATACACAAAGAATGTGTATGCAATGATGAGAAAGCAAGCCCTGCACTCATGTAGCTGACTTGCTACTGAGGAGGACTGCAAGGGCATTGTGTCCACTCTTGGAGTGTAGGGGTGTCTCCTGGAGTTCACAGGCTTAAGATTAGGGGTGGCATGGTCAAGAGCATAGGCTGTGCCCATGAGACTCAGTTGAATCATTCATGGCAAGTTCTAATTTGCTGACATGCCCCACACAGGCACAGGCAGAAGGGTAGAGGCATGCCTGAGCCCACACCTCACTCCCAGGGAACCCCTGCAAGTGTCCCGGAAGGCCTGGCTCTGCCTAGCTTCTGGATCACTCTGCTTCCCAGGTCTCTGGATGTCATCTGTCTGCCCTTGTCTGTATCTGCCCCCTGGGAACCCAAGATGTCTCCTCTGCCCAAGGATAGGTCATGAAACTCAGCCCTGTCAAAAGACTGACTAGGACTGCAATATTTTCTTTCCCTAAATGTTAATGTGCTGACAATAAGGGGACTTGAAACCATGTGTGTCATCTGAGGAAAGAATAGAAAGTCTGGGGCAGCTTTGCCTGGAGAAGACTTGAAGGAGACATGAGACCCGTCGGCAAGGATTTGGAGGCCTGTCATGTGGCAGAGGAGCCTGCTAGTTCCCCACAGTTCTGGAGAGCAGGTGGAGGACCATGGGGGAAGAGTTCAAAACACAGACTGGGCTCAGCACAAACACAACCGCCTTCCCAACAGGGCCATCCATCCGTCTGTCTGTCTGTCTCCTGCAGAAACATGCTCCCTGTCACACCACCAGGAACAGCCAGAGGCTTGTGCATCTATGGGGCCCAACTCCCTGATTTTTGAGGTCCCTTCCAGCTGGAGACATAGTGACTCCATGCTCTGGAAGAGGCTTCCTTTGACTGGCAGACAAGACTACGCTGGCACCCCTTGATGGTAACAATACCTGAGGGCATGCTGGCAAAGGACATCTTGTCACTTTTATTCACAACATCAATGCAATTTGCAATGGCAAGCATTTGTTTCACCCTGCCTTCAAGGGCTATCTGAGGATTCTGAGGGGGCTGAGGGAGCTAACGGGGCAGGAGTCAGCTCCCTAAAAGAGGATGGCATTCATTCACACTGCAGGGGAATGTAGAGTCCCCGTCCTAGAGAGGTTCAGCTTTCCTCAGCAACATGTCCCCTTCTTCAAATGGACTTTTCTGCAAAATCCCAAGATGTGAAGCCAGGGGAAATGATGCTGCTCCGATTGAAGAGGGCTTGAGAGACCACAGCCCCATCTGCTCAGCATCTACCTCTGTAGCCCCTGAGATCCCAGGAAACCCTAAGTGTTCTGAAAAGCATACCTTGAGAACCACAAGTGAGCGTGAACGTCAGGGCAGAGAGCATGGTGGACTGTCTGAGCCAGACTTCCTGAGCTTGAACCCTGGCTTCCCACTTACTAACGGGATGACTGTGAACATGGTTGTTTGACCCCTTTGTGCCTCCAGATTCCCCCCTGTAAAATGAGGAAAACTCATAATGCTTACCTCAGTTGTTGTAAGGACCAAGTTGATCCTGCATGTGAGCACCTGGAACTCCTGTCTCATTCTATGTGTGATGAGGGATCACCTCTTCCACAGATGACAAAACTAACATTCAAGACTTCCATGGCTTGCCCATGGCCATGGAGCAGGACCTGGTGCCTTCAGGTTGTCCAGGTCAGAGCTCATGGTTGCTGTGATCCCTGAGGTAGACAGTAAACTGGGTGCAGGGGCTTCCGGTGGTTGAGGCTGTGTACTTGGAATAGGAGGCCTTAGCATGTAGGTAGGCCTGACAGGTGGATGGAGGTGGGGGCTGGTTGCTGGTGGCTTTTTCCCACAGCAAGAGGGCCAGGAAGTTGGGAAGGGAGAGGGAATTCTAGAGAGAGCAGGTAGTGAATGTACTCCCCAGGGCACTGCAGTGGTAGTGGGAGGGACCCAAGAGGCTCTGAGAGTTGGGGGTGACCCCTGGGTAATCCTCCATAAGGCCATGAGGTCTCATGGCCAAGCAGGAGAGGAAGGGAAGGCAGAAGCTAAAACCACAGGAACTGGGACCAGACAGCTATCGTCAGCTCTTAATTACCACAATCACTGGCACCGAAAAGCCCACGCAGGCTCCTCTGTAAATAAACTGCGTCTCCTTGACTTCAGGCCGCATCCCAGCGCACACATATTTACAGTGCACGTGTGATCTATGCTGTTCTCTCTCTGCTCACTCCCCCACATTCTCACTTTTGGTCAAGGTTTTGCCTTCCTTACATTTGATTTGGGCTAATGTTTACACCACCTGTGAGGGATGCAGGGGAGGTGTTTAATCTGCATTTACAGAAGAGAAAAATGAGTGCTTGTATGACTTGTCCAAAGGCACACAGCTAGAAAAAGCCAGGATTTGGGCAGAAACCTGGGATTTTCCTCCCATGATAGGCCTCGTGTTTTTGTTAGGGGCATCAAAGGCACCACTTCTGAAGTATATGACTACTGGGTGCTTAGAACAGAAGCTACCAAGGAGCCCCTGTTAGCATTTAGGACAGTGTAGATCATGTAGATGGCGTTGGTGCCAATAGGCTGGGAGGGCCAAAGCTAAGCTCAGAGGCTAAGGATGGAGGGGTGGGCAGAAGCAGGAGGGATGGGCTTCCAGCACAAGGAAATCTGAGCTAAAGTGGGCAGAGTTCCAGAGTCTCTTTTGACTACATATGTGGCTGTTGAGTCTTGGGCAAACATTTAAGAGGGTCTGCAGTGCCCATAAAGCAGATGTCATCAGAGGAACTGTGGAAATTGCAGTCCTTTGACCCATTTCATTGCAGTGATGGCTCAGAGTAGGGGTGGGGTGGTCTGGAAGGGCAGAAAGGCCATACAAAAGCAGTGGCCTTTTAGAGGGATCAGTGGACCTAGTGAATCCTGGCAGAGCTAAGGGGCACACGTGACCTCTCCTTTGAGGGTATCAAGTTTGTAAAATGAGACAAAGAGACTGAAAGACATTCCAAGTGGCACAATTCCCCCATTTTACAGATGAGGGAACTGAGACATGGAGCGGGGAGGGACTTCCCAAGTTCACCCAGCAAGGCAGAGCTAGAAGTAGAACCCCTGCTCAGGGCTCCCAGTGTCCTGGCCAGATGGAATGGGAAGGTGTTTTGTCCTGGGAGACTCTGGGATGGAGAGTGGCTGGCCCTGACCCACAAGGATCTGACTGTGCATGTCCTCCCTAGGGGCACCCACCCGCGATGTCCTGCTGGTCTCTGCCATCATCACCGTCAGCCTTAGCGTCACTGTCGTCCTTGCGGCCTCTGCCACTGGTGTCAACGCAAACTGGTGAGGCTCCTGAGGGCCGCTTTGGGGCGAGGTGGGGGGCGGGGAGGGCAAGACCTGGCTCTGCACCCGGCCGCTCCCCCACTACAGCATCATGAATTCTCTCCAGTGCTCGGAACACATAACCCATCTGCCCACATAGTCAAGCACACACGTGGAAATTCACACCACAGGCACACATACTCCGTGCACCCTGCGTTTGCCTAGGTCTTGGTCGCATCCATCTCTTTTTACACACCTTGGGGACACATTCGCCGACAGATTTGGGTCTCAGGCATTCGCACGCTCACTACTCATACACGCGCGCGCACACGCCCCACCTCCCGCATAAAGAGCTGCAGACACACACGCGCAGACTGAGAATTGAGGCCCCTTGAACACCCGCCCCCCACAGCGCACGGCGCCCCTCCCCTCCCTCTCCCCCGGTGGGCGTGGCCGAGCAGTCTCTAGCCAATGAGGAGACGCCGTGAGCACCGCCCCACTCCCGGCACCCACACATCCATCCTGACTCTCCCGGTTTGTACAAGCACAAACGGCTTCTTTTCATTTTTAACGAGGGCTGGGGAATTAACGAGCAGGATTAGAACATCAATAAGTAACGAGACCGTCAGGAGGGACATTCATCACCCGAGGGCGTCGGGGGTGGGGGCGGGCTGAGCCACCCGCCCCGGCCGGCCCGCAGCCCTCAGGCCGCTAGGGCTGCGGTTCTGCAAGACCCCCACTCTCCGCCTTCATCTGGCGTCCTGCAGCCCTGACCAGAAGCGCAGTTGAATTTTGGGGGCTGCGGGGGGCGCCACCAAGGGTGTGCCTAGAGATGTTCGAGGTGCAGTGCCTTTGCTGTTTTCAGCTGAAGAAAGATCCATGGCAGGGGTCTTCCACCGCAGGGGTTGAGAATGGTGTCAGAGTGGGAGACAGGGTGCCACACCTGGAAACCCCATTCTCTCCCTGTCCCCAGACACAGAGGGACAATAAAGACAAAGGATGATGAGGGGCTGTGGCCATTGGCACTGGGTGGGTAAGGCTTCAGCCTTACTGCTATGGAGGAAGAGAAGGCACAGATTCCCTTGGGAAGGGGTTTTTGGGGTCTTGTTTGGGACCTATGGGAAAAACCTAAGAGGACCATGAACCAGCATGACTCCTTTAATAAAGGCAACCTCAGGGACTGGGGGCGAGCCTCTCTATCCTGGGGTGTTGAGTGTCAGGCAGCTCCAGCCCTTGGGGAAGAACCATAGGGCAGGCCAGCTGAGCTCCATGAGAGCATGCCTGAGAGTAGTGAGTGTGTGCTTGACCACACCTGTCCCTGCAGCAGGTGTGTGGAACTAGGCTGGCTGCCTGTAGTGTTCTTGGGACCCCTGGGTCTGCATCTGTCTTAGAATTTCAGGGGCAGTAGGTGGAGGGGGCTTGGCCACATGACTTGGTGTACCAGTGTCCCCAGAGTGGGGGGTGGTGACTGAGTGCACACTGCAGCCCTATGTGCCTGTTGCAGGACCCATTAAAAGGCAGGGGAGGAAGGTTGTATGGCAGGCACTGCCGGTGAGTGTGTGTGTGTGTGTGTGTGTGTGTGTGTGTGTGTGTGTGTGTGTGTGTGTGTGTGTGTGTGTGTGTGTGTGTGTGTGTGTGTGTGTGTGTGTGTGTGTGTGTGTGTGTGTGTGTGTGTGTGTGTGTGTGTGTGTGTGTGTGTGTGTGTGTGTGTGTGTGTGTGTGTGTGTGTGTGTGTGTGTGTGTGTGTGTGTGTGACGTGCACCCCTGAGCTGTAGGATGTGGATCATTTTGTCAGCTCCTCCTGAGAGCTGTTGCTGAGGTTTCCATTGTTCTGGTCTCCCCTGCATATGTGCTGCACCAATGTGTGCATGTGTGTGGTGAGACACCCCTTCCAGAGCCAAGGTAACACTGGCCCCACCCCCTCTCACCTCCAGTGGGATCAGAGCTTGGGCCAGGAGTGCTAAGATGACTGTTGTTGCAGCAGGTGGGGGCTGTCAGTGCAGGGAGCACCTTGGGCAGCTGAGAGACGCAGAGCCAACCTCCTCCCCAGTCTCAGCACCCTCCCTGCTGCAGCCAAGACCTCTCTCCAGGCTCCAGACCATACTCTGTGTCTTGACTTGGCTTTGGATAAAACATTACTTTCCTAACCCCCAACCCCCTCCCCCATGGGTCCCAGGTACCAGGGATTTTTGCCCAGGCTGTCTCCTTGTTCTATGGAAGGGGCTTTAAATTCCTGTCCCCCACATACACAGTTGCTGAGCTCTCCTTGCCTTCCTGTCCCCTCAGCACCAGTGATGTAATACCCTGACAGCCCAGATCCCATTTCCAAACATTAATAACTTCCTTAATCTCTGGCTGGCTTTTTCCGGCTCAGCCTGACCAGCCCCCTCCCTGATAAGCAGGCTAGTGGTGTGAGCTCCTCTGGAGCCTCCTAATGTCTCCTGGGACCCACCTGGGTTTCCTGTTAACTTGGGTTGCCTTATTAAATTCCCCTTGCCCCCTAATCAAGTCCTGCCCAGGTTCCTGTTACTACTAGTAGCCTAGCTCCTACAGCCAGATGGAAAGGTCCTCTTGGCTGTGGAAGGAAGAGGGACAGGCAGAAGCTCCTAGAACCTGGCCTTAGGGAAAGGGCAACTGACCAGCCTTAGAGGAGAGTGCTGACTGGGGCAACTTCTGCCAAGAGCAGAAAGAAAGAGGAGAGGGGTAAGGAAACATTGGGAATGCCATCAACAGGGCCCATCCTGCCCCACACTGCCTGGGAGCTAGAGAATAGTCAGGGCTAGGCTCCTGCCTAAAGGTCCTGCCAAAAACAGTCCTACCTCTGATGTTCGAAGTCAGTACTGGAAAATATTTGGGATTTGAATTTCTGGGTAATGATGGGAGAGATCAGAGACTGGGCTGAGAGAGAGCTGCTTTGTGGACCCAGAGGGTCCAGCATCTCTATTTTTAACTCAAGATTTTGGCAATAGCCAGAGGCCCAGGCCTCAGGGTAGACAGTGCAATAGGAGGGGCACTTCCAGTTGACTTTTTGTTGTTTTTTGGGTTTTTTGGCAGTACTGTGGTTTGAACTCAGGGTCTCAGGCTCACTAAGCCTGAGCCACTTGGCCAGTCTTCCAGTTGATTTTTGAGAACTGCCCAGTCGTACCAATCCCCACTCTAGGTACTAGAGAGAACATACAGAACTGCTTTTGTGGGCTCCATTCCAGGGTGTGGGAGCTCAGGTAAACAAACAGAGAAATGATCTCTGGGACCAGGATGTCCTCTTTCAGGGGGCTCAGTTGGTGACATCACACCATTTCAGGAAGGTGGAAAGAGGCCAGAAAAGGGACTTGGCTAAGGTGACACAGAGAATGTGAGGCACTGTTGGAGCCAAGACTCAGATGCTCTTGAGACGTGGGGGTGCTGGAGGTAGAATGGGGCTCTCCTCTGCACCCTACACCTTCCTGGGAGCTACAGCTCCTGCCTATCTCTCTAGACAGACAGCTCCTTGTGGGGCTACAGCTGGCAGAAGCATCTGGGAACATAGCCTTGGAGGCTCTTATTTTGCTTTGGGAAGAATGGAATAATTAACTGTTGTGGCTGTGGTATTGGTGCACATGACAGGATATTGGGGAAGTGTGCACATGTGTGTGCATGTGTGCGTGCATGTGAGTGCATGTCTGTATTTCTGTCTATCCACACTAAGCTAGGCAGGGGTAGGTCAGTGCCCACTGGGAGAAGGGGGCAGGGAACAGTCCTAGCCCGTGCTTAGACCCAATCTTCCCACTGCCTGCATCAGTCCTGGACCTGCCCTGCCTATGGCCCATGGGTACGTGTGAGGATGCTTGGTGGCAGCCAGGAATGTTAATGGGGCTGGGCTCTGTGTGAGCTAAATTTAGAAACCCACACTGAGAAGGTGAATGGTGCTCACCTTCCAGCAGCAGGCCCAGTCGCCACTGCAACCTTGGCCCTTCCTCTTGCTGGAGGGCTAGGGTGCCCACCTCCTGCCCTGCTCCTCCCCTCTTCATGCTGGTGTGAGGAACCCTGGGGCAGGGGTGTTCCAGGGCCTACGTTGTCCCCATCCCCACAGAGTCAGCTTGCAGTCTCCCTTCCTAAGACCACCTTTTACAAAGGCCCCAAGGCATGAGGACCCCAGGGAGCCCCCATACAGTGACCTCACAGCCCTGGCAGGACTGGGCATGTGGCTTTTTCCCCGCCTCCACTGCTCACGTCACCGGCCACTGCCAACCTTGCCCTGCAGGATGCCGCCCCCACCATCTGGGGGTGGTGACGTGGACAGTGTGACGTGGCCAGGCGCCTGTGAGCCGTCTGTCCGTGGCAGAGGGAACTGTGTTTCTGGGAGCCAGGCCAGAGGCCCAGGAGACAGGCAGACAGGCTGGCCTGATACCTGAGGGTTAGGCGTGAGGCACATACTGTGGGTGGCAGGCAGGTCCTAGAGCCCACTGGGGCTCCAGAGCAGCCAAGCAGGAGGCAGGACCCCACAGTATTGACACCCCACACATGGACTCTGGACCTTATTGCAAGCCTGGACTCTGGTCTTCTCCCTGTATTCTGGGGTCCCTGTTCTGGGGAGGTGAGGAGGGTCGAACCTGTCCCCCAGGAGTAACTGTGGTGCTGTTTCCACAGGGCAAACGCTACAAGAACTCCTTGGAAACGGTGGGCACGCCAGACTCAGGGCGTGGGCGCAGTGAGAAGAAGGCCATCAAGTAGGTGCCAGGATGCCAATTTATGGGGGCACGCAGGCAGCCCAGGTGGGAGGAGCCCATTCTCCCCTGTCCTCAGACCTGGCCACAAATACATCTACATTGTCCCCTCAGTCCCCCTGAGGCCATGCTGTCTACCCATCCCCATAATCTCAGCACCCCAGGGTGACCCCAGGCCTCCCCGCCTGCCTGTGCCCCCGGGCAGTTTTCTGAGGCAGGTTTCAGAGCCTCCAGCCAGTTTTTCTGGCTGCCTCACCCCCACCTCTGTCTGTACCCTACCTCAGTCCTGGTCTCTTCAGCCAGCCCTTGTATCACGTACACACTGTCCTGAGCCCCTACTGACCCCTGGACCTACATCCTCCTCCCCTACTTCCCGCTCCTGAATTGGGAGACCCTTCTAGTGGGCTCTGGTTCTTTTCTCACATCTCACTCATGTTTTGACCTGGAATGGGGACAGACAAGCCTTGAGGACCCCAGCTGGCCCCAGCTCTGGGCTTCTTAGGAAGCAGAGCTGTAGGGAGAAGCTCGGCTCTCCCCTGTCCACACTTGAGTCCTACTGCCACTGACTTGCCCAGGGTTCCCATTGAGCTGTGAGAGCCCTGTTCTGTAGGCAGGGCCTCTGTCTCTTTGCTGAGGGTCACTTGGAGACACACTCAAGAAACCCCCCGCCCACCAGGCTGGGGTCTCCAGGGGCTTAGGCTCTGGGAAACAAGGCTTTCTTAGGAGGGCCCCTTGGTCGATGGCCCCAAGGTTTTCTCTCGGTGGAGCTCAAGCCTTCAATGGGAATATGTCAGCCCAGGGAGGGATGGTTCACCTTCCATCTTAGCCTAGCCAAGGCCAAGCCTACCAGCCAAGGAGCTCTGCCTAGAAGCCATGCCTCCCAGCCGTCCTGCCCTTCCCCCTTCCCTTTCAATTCAAGGCCTGCTTCCCTCCCCAGCCTCTTTCCCTCTGTCCCCTGTCGCCCTGGCCCAGGCCTTCTTGCCCTCCTGTATCTTTCTCCTTTCCCTGACCTCTCCTCACCCACCAGAGCTCCCTCTTCTCCACCCCTCCTCTTTTTTCATCTCTTGCTCTGACCCTGTTTGGGGCCTTCACAGAAGCTGCGGGGGTGTGTCTGGGGTGAGGGGTAAGTAGAAGGGTGGGCCAGCTGAGGGGATGGGTGGGTGGAAGGCTCAGGAGGAGCCACGGGAAGCCTTTGAAGCTGGGTTTGGTTGCACACTCTCTAGTCTTCAAAGATAAGAGCTGGCAGGTCTCAGGGGCTGTTACAGAGCATAGGCCCCAGGCTTTCTGAAGGGGGAGACATTTAGGGGAGACCACATGCAGGAAGCATGGGAGCGACCCAGCACCCCTGCTGCCTCCAGTCTGGGTTGTTTGCAGTCCTGGGCAAGGGCAGGGGGCCTGTCTTGGCCAACTGATCATAACCTTCCTGTAGAGGGGCTCATGTGGCAAGGCCAGGAATTCTGGAAGGGGCCATCCACCAGCCATGGGGGAGGAAGGGTAGCAGGATAGGTAATGGGCTCTACCATCTGGGATCAGTGCCCAGAGGGCTCACGAAGAAACAGGGCAGCAGCACCATACAGCCCCCCTCTCTGTAGCCATGTAGCCCCACCATCCAAGCCTACCCCAACCTACTGGGCTGTCAGTTGCTCTGCCCCAGAGGAAGGAATTTGCTACTCATGTCTATGTGTTTGCTATTCCCATGCCTGGGCAATTTATTTACTGCACAACAACCCCATGGGCTTAGGACCTCCTTTAAAGGGATCATCTTATCAGGGATTCTGGAAAGCTGCATTTTTAAGTAGTGCTTCCTAAACTGTGTTCCTCAGAGTGCTTGTGCCCCGTAAATGAGTAATGAATCAAAGTTCCACAGCCAACCTGTTTGGGAAACAATGCATCCTCTCTCCTATTTGGTGATACTGATCATCATTGGCACATTAAATGCTCTGGCACGTCCTGAAGTAAAGGAACCAGTTTTCCCCAAACCTCTTTAATTAGAGCTCCTCTTTTCCAATACCACAGTAGAAACTTCAGGGACTCTGGAGCTCCCTGGGATACTAGCCTAGCAGTGATGACTCTGGGTGGATCTTGTTCTCTAGGACCTAGGGTTGGAAATGAGGGTGGGGGGTGCGATCCACCTGCTTTATCTGTCCCATCCACATCTTTGTGTGATGCCCTGCTGGAGAATGGAGCCAAAGAGCATCTCTGGTAGTCATGGGGGTCTTTGTGGAGAGAATAGTTTTGCCTATGGCCTATCCTACCTCCCTCACCTCTGGTCTCCACTGTCCCTGTGAGCTGGCTCAGGGACTAGGTTTTGAATTTTGTGCACAAAGTCCCCTGTGAGACCTTTCCAAGGTGTATTTTGGCCCAAGGCCAGCATCTCTTCTAGGCCTATGGTGTCAGCCCAGCTTCCTACCGTTTTTTGCTCTGTTGTTCCTGTGTGTGAGTTTGAAAACCAAGGTCAAGGTGAAACTGTCAGAGGCAAGAGAAGCAGGTTCCCCCGAACAGTCTTCTTGATCCTCAGGGAGTATGCCCCCATGTTGCCCTGCCCCCAGCCATGCTACACCTTGGGCTGACATTGGAACAGCCTCAGCCCGTCCCAGGCATACCCAGGCTCTTCCACAGCTCCTTCTTCCAGCAGCACTCCTACGGCCAAGGTGTGGCACCCTTCTAGAATGATCCCTTGGCCTGGAGTTGCCTCTCTTCTCCCTGAGCCCTCAGACCTCCTCCTTGGGGTCCCAGGAAGCTGACAAGCTGGTAGAAACCTTGTTCTTATCTTCTGAGGTCTCCAAGTCATGCCCTCTGCCAGCCCAGGGTTCTGCTACCTGCCCTATCTGGAAGTCCCTACACTCTCTATGCTCCTAGCACGTTGGCTCTTCCAGTACCACAAGTCACAGTGGGAGTAGTAGCAGACTGAGGGGGTGAGGATCCCTTCCAAATTCAGCAACTCCATCTTGGAAAGGGACAGGGCTCAGGGAGGGACCTCCCAGCTGGCAGGCCAGTGCACACAGAGGACCTGAGGCTGAGTCATCCCCATCATTCCCACTCAGAGAAGGACTGGCTTCCTTCACACAGGCCCCAGAATAAAGGACCCTGATGATCCTTGAGGTAAGAGGCCTGGGTGTCCCCTCCCTCCTCTGGGGGCCCCACTCGCCCCAACCACCGCATTTGCCAGGACTGGAGACGCTCTCCAGCTTACCGAAACCCACCCCCAAATCTCATGGAAATGTATCCCAAGCTCACCAGTGGTAGGAAGAGGGAAGAGGAGTCCAGGGGGTGCTTCAGGCCAGTGAAGAGAAGATGGAGGGGAGAGAGCCACCAGTCTTCTCCTTTGACAGACAGTGAAACGAAGGCCAGACAGGCAGCGCCCACAGTTAGCAACAGACCTGATCTACTTTCCAGCTCCTTCTAGCCAGAAACTAATACTCTCCCCTTCTTCCAGTGCCCTCCACCCCACCTATGCCCTGTCCCCAGCTCCTACTGCCCTCTGTTCCTTCCTCTTTTATCATCTTTCTCTCTCCCACCAGCATCCCAGGTGCGAGGCTCCTGTCCACCCACTTGCAGCTTGCTCCTTCTGTGCGGCTTCTCCCGCTGGCCCTCCAGTGCACATGTGTGTGTATGTGTGTGTGTGTGCGTGTGCATGTGTGTGTGCGCACGAATGCCCGGCAGAGGCTGTTGTGCCCACCTGCCTTTCTTCCTCTGCAGGAGCAGACCCTTGAAACCCTGCCCTCAGCGTGCCCCCTGGGGTTCCCGCGTCCCTTCTGCCCCTTCAGGATTTGCAGTCTTGTTTCTTCTTGTATTTCCCTGTTTTCTCCCCTCTCTCTCTGCCCCTCCAGTGACCTAGACAGAGACTTTTGGAATAACAATGAAAGCACAGTGCAGCAGAAATGGAGTTCCTACCCTCCCAAGGAGTTTATTCTAAACATTTCACCCTACGCCCCTTATGGCGACCCACGACTGTCCCTCAAGTGAGTGACTTTACCTGGTTTGATCATATGTACCGAGTACCCGCGCACACCCTCCTTCCCTCCTCCTGCCCTCTCCTGGCCCCCTTTACTTCCTTCCTGCTCCCCTTCCCCCCACTTCCCACCCTTCCACCCCATGGGCAGGCTGGCCATGGAGACGAGCAACCCCTCCTGCCCCCTTGCCTGCCTGCCCCTCTCCTGTCCCCTCCCCCAGGGCCAGCCACACAGGAGAGTCCCCCCCAGATGGCCTGGTCCCCACCCTCTGTGCAGTCAGGATGGGGTTGCCCGTTTTGGTCCCTCCCTCTCAGTTGTGGCTCGCTTTTTCCTCCCTGCTGTGTGCTGCTGCCGTGGCTGCTGGTGGTCGGTGGTCGGTGGTCGGTGGTTCGTGGCGGTGGTGGCGGTGATGGTGGTGGTGGTGGTGATGAATTCTGACTAACACGGCTTTCTCTTTCTCCCTGCCTGGGGGCCTCCTGGCCTGGACAGCCCGCTCTTCCTCCGTCGTTAACCCTTCGTTGTCCTGTGGGATAGAGTTGGAGGTGGCTGCCCTCCCCCACCCCCGCCGCCCCTGCCCCAGGCGGTGGGGAGGGGCCCCCCTCCATTGTCGTGGTGCGTTGTTCTCCGACCCTAGCCCGCCCGGTCCCCTCTCTCCTCTGCAGGCTCCGCTGTTAACCCATTTGCAGTGCTGATGTCTTTCTCTCTCTCTCTCTGTCTGTCTCTTGTCCGTCTGTCTCTCTCCTCCTCTCTCACTGTCTCTTTTTTCCTTTTATCTGTCATTGTTTTTCCTTCTTTTCCACCCCTCCACCCCACGTGTGGCCTGCCCTCTCTCTCCCACCACCACCCCCGGTGCCCCTGTGGCTGGGCTGCCTGTGCATGCCTCCAGTGGCACCCTCCTGTCAGGCGCCAAAGTGGCCGCCGCGGCGGGGCTGGCGGTGGAGCGGGAAGGCCGGCTGGGGGAGAAGCTGGCACCGGTGCCACCACCTGGAGAGGACGCCTTGAGAAGCAGCGGGGCTGCCCCCAGCGAGCCAGGCAGCGGTGGCAAGGCTGGGAGAGGCCGCTGGCGGACAGTGCAGAGCCACCTGGCCGCAGGGAAGCTCAACTTGTCCAAGTGAGTGATGGCGCCCCGTGGCCACCGGAGCCATGAGCTCAGGCCTGCCCCTGCCAGGATGGACAGTGGGACCCCTGGCATGACTGCTGCTGCCCCCAGAGGTGCCATCCTCGGCCTCTGGCTCATTCCATCCCTTCACAAGACTCTCTCATCGTCCTTGCCATTGGACACAACCAACTCAGCCATGCAGTGTCACACATCAGCCTCTGGTGGCTGCCCCATCAGATTCTTCCTTTGCCAGTACCCAGGTCATTCCATTCTCGGCCCCCAGAGCAGTTTCATTCCAGTCCCTGGGCCATCCCATCCTCTTTGATTGGCCACCCATTTCAGCTGTCAGGTCATCCCTCCATGGGCTGCAGGCCTGTGTTGGTCCCACCATAGGGCCATCCCATCTTTGGGGAGCCAGCCCATCTCAGCCTGTGCCTGTGCCACTCATCAGCCACAGGACCTAACCCTCTTTCTTCCAACAGATGGCTCTAGATGCAGCATTGAGCCGTTCCATTTTGGAACACCTGGGGACTTCATCTGCTTGTCCCAGTCTTGCTTGTACCATGCCACCATCTGTTACAGGGGTTCATCCATGAGCAGTCACCAGGCCACCCCAGTTGTTCACCTCATCTCAGCCATCCCCATTGGCTGTCCCAGTCTTGGTCAGCAGCTGGGTTTGGGTGTTCTTGGAGGTTGGGTTTTTGAGCCCCAACTAGCATCTCCTTTCAGATGTCATGCAAAAGAACCTGTCCCTTTTTAATAGGTGAGCTTACCAAACAGTAAGTTCCATTCTTGGGTGATGGACATAGGACTGGCCTCTGTTTTCCAAAGATGGTTTGTCTCCACATGGGGCAACCTTATTCTCATCTTGGCTTTCACACGCTTCTAGTTCCCAAGAGTGGAACCCTTCCAGGTCCTAGGTCCTTCAAGCTATGGCCATCCTCACACACTAAGATGTCAGTTCCATTTTCAGCTATTGGAATGGCCGCACTCCCAGCTAGTGCACTGACCTCCTTAGAAGATCAACAGCCCCGGCCACCTCTTAGCTGTTGGGCCATCCTGCTGCCTCAATTTAAGGCCCTCCTGATTCTCTTCAGAAGTTCCACCATTGACACCACTGAGGGCCACCAGGCTCAGACCTCATTGGCTTGTTGGCTTGAGTAAACCCAAGTTGATTTCTCCCCTGACATCTAGCCTCAGGAAGGTCCCAAGGGAAGTCCCATACCCTATCAGAGAGCCAAGACCTACACCCTGCTCTCCCCAGGCTGCCCTGGCCAATCTTCAGGCTGGTTAGTCCTTCATGCCATTCCCTGGCTCTAGGCCTGGAGGAACCAGTTTTAGTTTCCTATGACTGAGAGATTGTAAATTGGACTAATTTTGGATGTGATAGGAAACCAAAATGAGGTCAGCAAGGAGGAGGAGGAGGAGATAGCCACCAATGTGCGGTCCTTCCTCTGCCTCTGATTGCCCCCAGGAAGCTGTGGATTGATGGTTTGGCCCAGCCTGGGCCTACCCTTGGGATGGCCCTGCTTCTAGGCCTGAGTCAGGCAAGGGTGCTGACCCCGGGACCCTAGCTACACCCACCTTTTGCTTTCTTCTCTCTCTCTCTTTCATTCTCTCTGTACTGTATTTTCTCTTCTCTTCCCTCTCTCTCTCTCTCTTGTCTCTTTCTCTCTCTGTCTCTGTCTCTCTCTGTCTCTCTGTCTCTCTGTCTCTCTCTCTCACACACACACATAAACACACACACACCCCCACACACACACTTTCTCTTTCTTTCTGCTCACAGGAGCCACCTAACTATTGTCTTTTGGTTCCTCGGGTAGGATCAGGGAGCAAGCAAAGCTGAGGTCTGGTTGCAGTGGTGAACGCAGCTCCCAAGGGCCCTGGTCCTCCTCCCACTACCCCCAGGGCATTTACACTTGTCCTATGGCCCTGGAGTAGGGGTTGGCAAACTTTCTTAGTAAAGGGCCAAGTAATATTTAGGCTTTGTAAGCCAAGTTGTGTCTTTCATACTACTTGGCCCTGCCATTATAGCAGGAAAGCAGCCGTAAATGGAATGTAAACTAATGCCAGTGGCTGTGTTCCAATAAAACTTTATTTACAAAAACATGCGGCAGACCAGATTTGGTCCACAGGCCACAGTTTACCAAACACTGCCCCAAACAGTTATATTGGGATAGGGAGGGAAGGGACAGTGGAGGAAGAGGTTAAAACTTCAGGTCCAGGGAAAAGCAACTTACTTGGAGCAGTTCAACCCAGTGTCTGACTGGCTTACTTGTGCTCGGGCCACAGCATGCTTCTGGTCTTTTCTGGGATGTTCTGAAATCTCTGGCCAGATCAAGAAGCAAGCAGGTTACCCCAAGGGAAACCACAGACTCCTGGCACCAACTTCTGGCATTTACCCATACAGCCTGACTCTATTAGGTCCTCATGGCAACTCTGACAAAGGCAGCTCAGGGATTGTTTTACACTCCCAATTTATAGACAAAGAAACTGAGGCCCAGGAACAAAGAAGTCTGGTAAAGACCCATCCCAGAGCCTGAATCTGAGGCTCCCTGGCCACAGGGCAGGAGTCTGTGGGCCTGAAGCTGCTTCCTCTCCTCTGTGGACAAAGTATAAGAATCGCTGGCTGCCCCACCTCACCAGGCTTTACTAGGCCAGCTCTGCACTGGCCTAGATTTCCTTGTCTCCAAAGGACAGTAGTACCTAAAACACAGAGACAGACTTTCCTGGTGTCCCTCAGTGAGATAGCCAAGGGGGCAGCAGCAGCAACCTACCACTTCCCATTCTGACATGAAGGCAGCTACAGGACCCAGAGGATCTGCCTTCACCACACAGCAACCACTGTTCCTGCGGCCCCACTCAGACCACCAGAGAGGCCAGCCCAGATGGGAGGTACTGGGGCATTAGCAAAGCCAGGGCCAGACAGGGGTGGGTGGGGCTGACCTGGGGGCCTCAGGGTTGGCTCAGGTTTTGTGGCCTCCTGAATGAGGTGGTGGCAGTGACGGCAGCAGCGACAACCAAAATGGAGTCCTGGCGAGGTCCAGCTGAGCACACCCTGCACTGGGGCCTCCCAGCCCCGGCCCTCGGCTTCTTTCTCCTCCACTGTGATCCCTTCACCTGCTTCTCCTTTCTCTCCTCTCCTTCACCTGCCCCAAGTTTCGAGGACTCCACCCTGTCCACGGCCACTACCCTTGAGTCTATCCCCAGCTCCACGGGAGAGCCGAAATGCCAGCGACCCTGCACCTTGATGCGGCAGCAGAGCCTGCAGCAGCCGCTGAGCCAGCACCAGCGGGGCCGGCAGCCCAGCCAGCCCACCACCAGCCAGAGCCTGGGCCAGCTGCAGGCCCATGCAGCCTCAGCACCAGGCACCAATCCCCGGGCCTATGGCCGGGGCCAGGCTCGACAGGGCACCTCGGCCAGCTCCAAGTACCGGGCAGCAGGGGGCCGCAGTCGCTCCAACCCAGGCAGCTGGGACCACGTGGTGGGGCAGATTCGAAACCGAGGCTTGGACATGAAATCCTTCCTGTAAGTCCTCCCCTTGAGCCGGCTGGCCCCCCACCTCCCCCACCCAGCTTCCTTCCCCCCCAAATCTTGGGAACAGTCGATTTTTTGTCTTTGGCAAATGCCAAGCAGGCTCTGTCACCCTTTCCCCAGCCTCTCTGAACCTCCCCAGTCCCATAGAAAGATTTGTATCTGATTCACCCTCTGAGGACCCCAGGTTCCCCTCACTGTTTCTAGGGCTCAGAGACGTGCCCCCCCACACACAAACACAAACACAAGCTAATTGGAGACACTAAACAGTGCTCCAGAGGTCCCTGAGATGTGTCCTCTCCCAGCCAGTCCCAAGCTGTTTCTCCTCTCCTCCTTTCCAATTCCATCTCGGTCACTCCATTTCCAGGGCCTTGCTCTCCTCCCCTCCAGTTTACTTCCTCTCTGAAACCCAATTCTGCTGGCTGTCCCACCGCACACTTCCTCCCTCCCTCTCACTTTCCTTGTCCCTGCCCTCAGCCCTGTCCCATGTCTCTCTGACCTTCTATAGCTACCAGTCTTCCAGCTCCCACCCTGGCTTCCCATAATGGTCCATCCCTGAGAACAAACCTGAGCTGCTCCCCCAAAGCGTCTGAATGATCACAGTGTTTCTAAATCAGAGCTTCTTTCAAGAGGTGTGTGAGAAGGGACACACCTCCAGCCAGTGTCTAACCTTAGCCACTTCCCCAACCATTTGCCTCCCAGCCCTGCCTCCCTCCATGAGAATGGTCCTGCCCAGGGAGCCCCTCCCACATCTTTCTGGACATCTGCCTTCACTCTGAGAGCCCAAGACAGTTGTAGGCCTTAGCTCAGCACCACCCCCTCCTCCAGCCTAACATGAACTTCCTTCCAGGCTCCAGGATTATTCCCGGGGCCCAGTTCCTCCCTGGGATCACGTTGCAGGTGCAGGAGAGCAGCACACTAAGCCTGGGAGAGGAGAAAGGGAGGAAGAAGGGGAAGCCCAAGTCCAAGGCCCAGGTACTGGCAAGAGATAGGGATTCAGAAGGCAAGCAAGTTCCTTGCAGCGTACCACTTGTGTGCCTGAGAGCCCAGCCAGAGATTCCAAGACAGACCGGAGTGCTATCCTGAGAAATGTTCTCCACCAGAGTCGTCCTGTGAAGAGGCCTGTGGCCCCAGTCCACCAGACATGCTCTCCGGGGCTCTCCTTGACAAATCGGAGTAGCTTATTTGAACAACCTCTGAATATAGCTGGTTACTGCACCGGACAAGATGTCCAGGGGAGCCTCCTGTCTTCTGGTGGTGAATTGTTCTAGGATGGCTGCTGTGATCCTGGAGTGAATCTCGGAGATGGAGGGAATTGCTTCTGCTGTGGCTTCAACAGACCAGCCAGGACCCTGGACGCCACCCCCACACCTACCACCCCACCTGACCTTAGGCTTCTGTGTGCATGGATAGCTCTGCTTCCTGTCCTCACCACCATCATCCTGGGCCAGAGCCTGTGTCCCAGCTTCCCCCTACTACAGGAGGCACGCTGGGTACCAGTTCTTCCCTGCCTACCACCTTCCTAGCCAACCAGGATCTGATACATGCCACTCAGACGCCAGCATCCTGTGCCCACACTTCTGTCCCAACAGCAACTCGCATGCCCCCTTACCTATAGGCCACCTCCAAGCTCACGCCAACTCCTAGCCTCTACCTCCTTTGCTTGTCCCTCACAACAGGGGTCAACAAACTCTGCTTGTAAAGGCCCGACAATAAATATTTTAGGCTCTGCAGGACACATGTGGTCTCTATCAGATGCTCTTCCTCCCCACCCCCTTAACCTTTTTTTAAATAGAGAGACCATTCTTAAGTTTATGGACTATACTAATACAGATGACAAGCCATAGTTTGATGACCCCTGCCTTGCAGTTTAGCTGCCATGTTTCTGAGGCTCTTCTGTTGCCCCAAGCACCAGGGTCTTGTTAGGAGAGCTATCCGGGCCTGGCAGGACCCCCCTGCTTCCTCCCACTCCATGTCCTTCCTCCTCTTGGCCCCCTAGTAGTCAGCATGTTCCCCAACTCCTGGCTACTGCCCCTCATTCTTGCCCTTGTGGCCTGCAAAGCTTCAGAGAATGAAAAATTGGTTAGTTATGCAGGGGATCTGCTCTGTTTTTAAGAAGAGCAAAAGGAGTATCTGAAAAATGCATTATCCAGGAAAAACATGTTGTTTTCATTGGGTTTGCCTTCACCCAGCTCAACTAGCTCCCAAACAGCCAAATGGAATTTTACCAACCCTGACGGAGTACTGATGGACAGGAACAAAGGAAGCAAGATCTGTCTTGAGGAAAGAGGAGAGTTATGCCCTCAAAGTTAGATGCCAGCACAAGCATCAGCCTGGAGTGACTGTGCCCTGGACAAAGACACAAGAAAGGACACTACAACACTTAGCTTCCTCCCCTCACTAGGACCCTGCTGGCGTCTCCCATTTTCCAAGACCCCTGTGTCCTCATCCCCTATCCCAGGTGCCACTTCTGGCCCCTTAGAGTTCCCTTTTTGACACACTCCCTCTGGGGAACAATCACAGAAGCTCTTGCCCCCCTTTGGTCATTGAAGTGATGGCTTTCTGACCCAGAATCCTCTCCTTCTGGAACATTCTCTTAGCCTTACCATCTTTTCCCTAGACCCTTCTTAAGATATGTTTTCATGCCTGCCCTATCTGAGAATCCCTCTCCCTTAGTTCTGAGAGATTCAGCACTGGATGACCTGCACAAAGCAACCAGCAAAGGCTCTGATGGGTTTTAGGGGCAGTGGGCACTGGTACATCCTTTTTTCTCTCAGGAAGATGTAGGTGACCCTGGCAAAGCCCTGGGCAGTTGCCCAGTGGTTCTCTGAGAGTGTTCCACACTAAAGGTGTGCATCTTCACCTCTGACCCCATGCTGCTGCCCACACACTCACTCCGAGATGCTCTCACCATCTCCACACCTGCCCACCATTATGTCTTGTGAGAGGTTATAGTCTCTCACTGCAGACAGGCTCCATGCAGCCTTGCCAAGACTTCTCCAGACCTTGCCAAGTTCCTGCACTTTCTCTCCATCTTTGTTTTATGGTGCCTAGTGGACTGCTTCTCCAGTGAAAGGCCTGGAACATGACCTGGAGGCCTCCGTGGCCATTCCTGGATCTCTAGGAAGGCAGACATAGGAGAGGACTCACTAGCCAAGACACAATATGCCAGAAGAAACTTCCATACTCCCTGATGGTATACAGGGAGCCTGGAGGGGAAAGCTTAGATCCTTCCTGGTTCAAAGGATATCTGCTTCACCATGACCCAGAGGTCTTATGATGGACTTCCATGAGCACAGGATGCACCTACATTGGATTTCAAAGTCTTCTGCCCACCTGGGAGCCCAAACATGCATGCACAGTCCCTATCAAGATGGTGGCAAAGTTGCTCCCTCTCCTCCCAGGGGCCCAGATGATCAGCAATTTCAGCTGGAGATGCATTTGCCTTTGAAAATATGACGTATCCTAGAACCTGTGCTCCACGCCTTCTCCCAGACTTCCCTGTGTGCTTCCTTAGGACTGTCCCAGCCCCCAGCCCTCTCCTCAGGCCTTTGCCCAGTCCCCTTCCCATGTCACCCCAGAGAATCTTGCTGTTGGCCTAAGGTCACCTGGCCAGGCAGCAGACACCTTCCCTCCATTTCCTCCATCCCTTCCCTCCCCACACTCTGATCTACAACTACTGACAGTGCTAAAGTTTGGTTTCTTTCCTGCAGGGCCACTTTCTTACGCATTTCTCTTCTCTCTCTTTGTCTCTGTCTCTGTCTCTCTCCCTCTGTCTCCTTTCCCCCCACTCCTGCCAATGGGGCCTCATCGTTTCACCCCGGCTGGTGGGCTGCCCACCCTGGGCAGGGAAGGCCGGATGGTGGTGCTATCCTTGGTCTTAGGGCTTTCGGAACAGGATGACTTTGCCAATATCCCTGACCTGCAAAACCCAGGAACCCAGCAGAACCAGAACGCTCAGGGGGACAAGAGGTATGAGCACGGGCAAGGCCTGCGGCGGTGGCAACAGCGGTAGCAGAGAAGGAGGCTTGGAGAGGCTGTCTGCCTTAGCTGGCCCTGGCTGCTGGACGAGGTGGTGATGCCTTCAGTGGATGCTGGAGTAGGAAGACAAGACCCTTCCCAGCCAGTGCCCTCCCACTGCCAACTTGGTGGGGTCCCTTGGGTCTATGAAGGGACCATCCTGGGACCATTCTGGATCAAGCCCGCTCCCCAGCATGCTTGCCCTGGCTCGGAGCAAGCCCAGCCTTCTTGGCCCCATCTCCTTGCTTGGCTCCCTCTGCTGCCTCTCCATCTCTCATCTCTGCCCCCCACCCCAGTGTGGAAATCCCTGTTTCTCCGGTGGTTGCTGGATGGGGGGGATGTCAGGGAAGAGGCACTAGCCTGTTCTCCCTCATCCCCGCCACCTCAACCCCCCTCTTGCCTGGTAGACCTGTTGGGTTGCTCAGCCATGGGAGAGGAGCTCCTGGTGGAGAGGGTCTGGGGCGTGGGGGAGGCCTGGTGACCAGAGAGAACCAGAAGGACAGCCCCAGAGTCTGGGTGTCAGGAGGAGGAAGTGGGGCATGGGGCTGAGAGCAGATGAGGCAGCTGCATAGCCAGGCACAGGCTCCCTGTCCCTGCTGCCGCTCTAAGGACCCTGTGCAGCCCAGGAGTAGCCCAAGTGGCCACATGACAGACTGAGCAGAGGCCAGGAATTTGCTCTTCCATAGCCTTACCCAGCAGAAATTCAGGAAAACTCTCCTACTGCCTCTGTCTCAAGAGGAGGTGGGCACTGCTCATGGGGAGGGGAGAGGGTTGGCAGTCACATGATCTAATGGCATCCCAAAGGTGGAGCTGTCATGCACCTAATCCAGCCTCCTCCCTCCAACCTGGCCTTAAGCTTAGTCAACACACACCAGTAGGGATGGGGAAGGCGCGTGTCTGCTTCCCATAATGGGGTCCAGCAGCCAGGACACCTGCCTCAGCACTGGACAAGTCACAGCCCCTGTCTAGGCCTCTGCTTCTGCATCTGTAGAGTGAAGGACTGGGTAGGGTGACCTCTAAGGACATGCCAAGCTTCCAATTAGGAAGTGGGCCCTTGGGCTAGGGCACTTGTCAGATCCTGTGAGTCGGGCAGGGACGGTGTTTGGATGGGTGACCCTGATGTTAATATATTAAGAAGCCTTTAGGGAGAAAAAGGGAGCATCCAAGGCTGCTGCCAGGGGCTTATGTGTTAGGGAAGGGTGGATAGGCTGAGACTTAGCCAGCCGACTTGCTGTCCCTCCAGCAGCTTCTGGAGACCAGCCCTCTCATTTCCTCCCCACCCTGAGTCCATGTTGCATGTCTGTGAAGGACCAGAAGTCCCTGGAGAGTGGGAGGGGAGAGTGGGACTGTTTCTTATACTCACTGGCACATATGGTGTCAGGCCCTGAGTCCATGCCTGGGATATGGGGGAAGGAGCAGAGCCTGCCACTCCCAACCCACTTGCGCCTGACAGAAGCCACAGCTTCTCAAAGCTGGGCTGCAGGCAGGCCAGAGGGCCACAGGGAGAGGGCCATACCACAGGCAAGAGGATGCAGGGAACTGGAGCCCTCTGAAAGCCTGCTAAGAACCTGAGCCCCTTGCTGGGAAAGGTGTGAAGTGTGAGGGAGCAGATGCAGGCTGGAAACAGATTTCACATCACCCATGTGTTAATTAACTGGCTCCATTTTCACCCACAACCTATTTTTACCTCCTTGCCACTCAGGTCTCACTCCATATTTTAACACACCCATCCCTTCTGATCATGACATCAGCTTGTCCTCTGCCTTCCTGGGAAAGGTGGGTGTGGAGGTGGAGGCCGTGGGCCCTCGCCCCCACCTGGCCTAACTTTCCAAGTGGACACACGCCATTCCCACCTTCTCATGTCCACCCATCCTGGAAACTCATTTCTCACTGCCCCTGGAGTGTTTCCCCATTGGCAGGCTGCCACAAAGGACTGCAGAATCAAATGCTTTCTCCCTAGTAGGCTCCCCCATCCCAAAGCTTGGTGTGGGCACCCCCAACCAAGCCCTGGCACTTAGGGCCCCATCTAATGGGCTCCTGGACCCTCCAACCTTGCAGTGGTAGGCTGAACCATCTGCCTCTTCCTCTTCAGCTTGTCCCTCCAGACCCAAGCTCTGCCATTCTACCCCCAGTCCCACCCTTCCCACCCCAGATGACCCTTTGACCAGAAGTCTCATCTGATGTTGGGGAAGGCATGCAACTCCCTTGGTCTGTTAGCAACAGGCTTATGGGAGATCAGAGTCCAGCAGAGTTACTGCTACTCCAGGTCCAGGCAAGGTGGGAGTGTGTCCAACAAGCCACAGGGAGGTAAGAGAAGTAGGCCCTGTCTCTGTCCCCATGGTCCTTGGTGCCCTTGAAGGTCTCCTCCAGGGTCCCCCAGCCCTTGGGCCTCAGCATACATGTCAGAGCACTCTTGGGCCCAGGAAGGAGGGAGGCAGGCCAGGCTGACAGCTGGCCCCATGCCCTGCTGTGCTGTCTCACTCATTTCACCTGCACCACCCACCTCAGCCATCCTTTCACCCTTTCACCTTTGCTCCTTGGGATCCGAATGGTTTCCACCGTGGCCCCACACCCACCCCAAGTAGGGGGCAGGGCGGGCCAAGCCACCCCCATTGCTCTCCTCGTCCAAAGCCACCATGTTCCTCTGCCCCTGTGTGTCCCCTGCCTCCTCTCTGCCTCTCCTGTTAGCCACCTCGCTCCTCCTTGTCCCCTCGTCCACCCAGCAGCCTTTTTCACACGTCTCTGACTAACCTTTCTTGGCCTCTCTCTCTCTCTCTCTCTCTCTCTCTCTCTCTCTCTCTTTCTCACTGTCTCTTTCCTCCCATCTGCTCCTCGCAGGGATGTCCCTAGGCCGGTGACGGGCTTCTCAGCCTCTCTCTCTCTGCCTCTCCCTGTGCTTCTCTCTGCCTCTCTGCCCTGTGACCTCCGACAGCTTCAGTGATGCTGACCATCTTTCCCAGGCTGCTTTGCAGCTGTGCTGACGCTGTGGTGTGGCCAAAATAACTCCAACTTTCTCATACCTTCAGCAGTCAATCTCGTGCTCTTTCCTCCTCTCCCGCTCTATTTTTAACCTGACTTTACCTCTCCAGCTATTTCAGTCTCCTCCTCTTCCTCCCTGTGCCTGTCTGCGTGAGCACATGTCCACGCGTGTGTGTGCGTCTGTGTGTACAGGGCCATAGGTGTGCCCGCCAATTTGTGTACTGGTGTATCCACGCCTCTGGGAGGGGAGTCTGGCATGGAGGGTGGGGTGAGTGTTTCCATGTCCAGCAAGGCCAGTTTCTCACAGCAGGTGTATCGTGCACCTGATGACCAGGGTATCTGTCTCTGAGTCCTCTCCCTGCCTTTTCTGTCTCAGTTTGTCCCTATTCACATGCATACCTTGGCACACCTGGGTCTCCCCAAATTGGTTTCCCCTGGGGATCTAAATGTGCCCATCACTCGGTGTGTGTGTGTGTCATCACAGCTGCTCTGGTTGACCGGCCTGTTGCCTGTGCCATCCTCTCCCTGTTCCTCTGGGTGACTGTTAGGCTTGTGTACACTGTGTGTGGGGGTGTCTGTGTGTGCACACCCTGCTGTTGGATCCTGGTGTCTCCAGGGCCTGGCATATTCCGTGCATGCTTTTCTGTGCCCGTCGTAGCCACCTGTGTGCTGTGCCTGGTATGTACCAGGGCTGGGGCTTGTGTCTAGACTGTGTGCCTGTGAGTCTATGACTCTCAAAGCTGTTTTGTTTTAGCCTGCCCCGAGCTCCATGCCACCAGTCCTGTCTCCCCTTTGCTGTCCACCTCCACCTTTCTTCCTCCTCATGGGACGTTCCAGCCTGGTCCCTGGGCAGGCATTAGTGCCCCCTTCCTGAGCTCCAGCCAAATGGAGCCTGGTCTCACTGCCCAAATGCCATGGAGTCAGATGCAGACAGGGCTGTTTGGGTTCCCTCCCTATCTTTCTCTGACTCTAGGTGAATGCCTCATTAAATGTGCAGCCCTCTGACTGAGTGGAAGTAGGGTGGGGACTGAGGAGCACAGGGTGCCAGCTAGCCCTATGCAATGGGTTTTAGCTTATATTAACAAAATTAAAAGCTCAGTGCTTAGTTGCTGCACATTGGCTAAAGACTACTACATGGGACAGCACAGGTAGAGAACACGTCTATCATGGTGGAAATTTGCTGGACAGTGCTGTGTGGACAGTGGTCCTGTCCCCACCTGGGCTGGAAGGTGAGGAGCACCTATTCTTAGCTGAGCCTGAGCAAACACAGGTGGAGCTCCAGGAGACAGACACTCTGGCGTGTTTGCCAAGGGTAATGACGCGGAGAGGCACCTGGACATGCCACCCAGCGCCTCCTAATGAGCCTCCCTTCCCAGGCAGGGGTGGAGCAGGCCTCTGCAGAGGGGGTGAGCTCAGAACATTCATGCAACCCAGGCCCTGGGGGCTAGGGACTTCTGGGAACAGGAAGAGTGGGGACACCCTCCAGACAGCCCCCACGGGTGGTTGAGACAAACCCCTAGGGCAGAAGTGATGAGGAGGGTGGGCCCTGAGTGCTGGTCTCCAGGAAAAAAACAGGCATCCCTGTGGACAAGAGCTCCATTTCTGCAAGCATGCAGGAGGTGACAGAGGCTGGGTCTTTAGAGAAGTTCCTACTGCCAGCCAGGCCTATGGTGCCCAGCTCAGCCCACCCCCAGCCCATGCTTATTGGGTCTCCCCCCCCTCCCAGGTTGCCTGCAGGAGGAAAGGCAGTGAATACAGCCCCAGTGCCGGGCCAGACGCCCCACGATGAGTCCGACCGCAGGACTGAGCCCCGCTCCTCCGTCTCGGACCTTGTCAACTCCCTTACCAGTGAGATGCTCATGGTGAGAAGGGTGGAAGGCCTGTGACTGGCAGAGGAGATGAACTGTGAGGCTGGGGGTGGGGAGGGATATGCATGGAAACTGGTACCCACCTAGAAGTGGCCCATTTGGACAGAGGAACCCTGCCAGAGGTGACCTGGAGAGCCAGGTGACCACTAGGAGCTTGCTGACTGACTGCACAAGGCCTGAGTTCTTTCCTCAATCCTTCCACCAAAACATCCTCTGTGCCTTAGTTTCCTCATTTGTCAAGTGAGAATAAGAATGTCCATCTCCTTTGATCCCTTTCTGGATTGAGAAGTGGCCTAAGGAAACCTACTTGTGTGAGATATTTGTATTATCCTAGGAGGAAAGACTGGTGGGCAGTGGTCTTGAACAGAAGGTATCCCCTTCCTCAGAGTGGCATCCTCTTTGAGCAGAGGTCTAGGGTGGAGCTCCCAGCCTAAATTGTCTCTTACCCCACCAATGACCTCCTGGTTTATGGGAGACCCAGAGAACAGGAGAGCAGGACCCCATAGGTCCCAATTCCTGTAAAGGGACAACCATGCAGGGCAGCTTCAGTCCACACCCCACCCAGAGGTTTGTTGCACCAAGGAAGGGGGTTGTGGTTCACATAGTGCCCCCTGGTGGCAGCAGTAAGTCACAGCACTTGCTTGGGCTATACTTACTTTCCAGAGTCCCTGGATTGACCCAGAGGGAGGCCATGGCTGTGCAAAAACCAGTTAAAAGGTTTGGCAAGCCAGAAGGCTCCAGAAGGCTTGGAGAGACCTTGAGGGTGGGAACCCAGCACCTGCTCTTCCTACAGGACATGATCAGGATCAACATTTCCTGATTCCCCTCCCCCCTACACAGGCAGGAAGTGGGCTCAAGGGGCTCTGAGGCCCTCATCACCCTGGTGTGGATTCTGAGTTCCTTTACCCACTGGCCTGGCACACAGCTCCTAACCTCCCTGAGGTCCCTGTAGCCTCCAAGTCCAACCCTCCCACCATTTAGGGTTCCAGGCAGCTCTCACTACTAACCTCAATGCTGCTTACAGATCTGGTGGGTCTCAAAATGTGATACGATTAAGATACAGATTCCCAGGCAGCAGGCCCAAGGCAGTACCCGAGAGTCTGCCGTTTTCTTGGATCCAGGTTAGAGCATCAGTCCCCTACCCCAGACCTGGTCACTTTGACTCCCTCTTCTCCCTGCACCGCCCTCCTTCCCAACATCCTTGCCCATGTAGACCTGCCTGACTGTCCTCTGCTCTGTCTGGCCCATCGCCACAGCCCACTCTGCCTCCCTACACAGCCCCTTAATTGGCTCTGTTTCCCGGTAGCCAGGTTCTCAGAAGGGACAGCCTTTTCCCAGACAGCTTGCCTTGCTGGCCCTTGCTGCCCTCAGGGAGGGGCAGCGGAAGGACATGCAGGCCTGTCTCCTGCTCATGTGCTCAGCAGATGCCCAGAGGTGAGACTACGAGTCTCTGTGCCAGTGTTGGGTCCCTGACGTTAACAGTAATGGTAAAGAAAGATAAGCAGGGCAGAATAAGTCCCAGACCTCAACCTCTGGTGATCTCCAGGACTGGGTTATAGAAGCTGGGGACCAGAAGATAAGAGTCAGGTGCCTCGAGCTGGCCAACTGAGGGGCAGATGCGAGAGCCACTGCCGTTGAGGCACTTACTGGCTTGGAGCTTTTTGAGACTTAAGTCTTCTCCGACAGGGGCTCAGACAGCACCTCCTGGGGCTGTGGGGGAGGGCCAGACTGGTAACTGGGGAGATGGCTGGTTCCTTAGGGCTCCTGGCTGTGGCTTGGGTAGGCAGGAGTGAGCACAGAGGCATTGCCCCTTTCTAAGCTGATGCCCACCTGGCCAACCCAGGTCTCCCCCATACCACCTTGTTTGGGAGCCCAGAGCCAGAGGGACCTCAGGTGGGACCACCCATGCTCCAGGTACCTGAGACTTCACCCCAGCTATAGAAGGAACAAGGCGCACTGCCTGCCCATGTGAGCTCTGAACTCAGTCCGACAGCAAGGCTGCAGAGCAGGATTTCGGGAGAAATGTAGGCCCATTTAGCCCTTGCAGGAACCCTACAGGCTAGATCTCATTATCCCCATTCTGCAGGTGCAAAACTCAGGTTGGGGGAATAGGTCTGCCCTGAGCAGAGGGTTCAAGTGTCAGGAAAATTGAATTCTGGGTAGGGCAGCTAAATTCTCAGTGGGCCTGAGGTAGAGCTTGTGGGGTGTCTGGATCTGTCAAAAGGATGGGTTAGGGGGACCCTCCTCTGCTGTGAGGAAGAGGAATAATGGAAGCTCAGTGTTCCCTGCAGCTGGGCAGAGCCAGGGATCAAACTCAGACCTGGTCTGAGTGGGGGAGCCTGGGCTAGGTGGAAGGGCACACTCAATTCCTGGGCACCCACCTGGATTGAGTTCCCACCCTCCATCCAGTCACAGGAGACTTGAGGCAAGTTACCTAACCTCTTGTGCTCCAGACCAAAATTGGAACACTGGGGTGCCTGCTTCTTTGAGGTGTAGTAAGGAGTGAATAAGAGCAAAGCAGGTGGCACAGGGCAGGACTGGTGGATCCATGGTAGTTACCATCGTTGGTGTGATTTGGATGCCTCATTCCTTGGCACAGGCAAGTCTTTGCTGGCTGGGAGGGAATCTTGCTATTAACCTGAAGGGGAGGGTCTGCTCTGGTGGGCAGAGCAGGTCTTGAGTTAGAGAGGGATCCTACTGCTGTGCAATCTTGGACATGTGACTTAACCTCTCTGAGCCAGTCTCCTCAGCGAGAGGGCGGTGACAGCTGCCTGGCCCAGCAGTAAGAAGGTGATGTGAGTCTTCTGCATGGTAGGTGACACTGTGCATTATTGCTTCTTGCATTATTTAGTGTTTCAGAGCCTGGCTTGTCTCTCTAGGATGTAGGTGGGGCACAGAGGTTTGCAGTGAAGCAGGGGAGGGAACACAGATGCCAGAGGATTTGTCCCATCTGTGGTTCCCTAGGACCCACTCCTGGCTCCCATCTAATCATCAGAGGGCTGTGGAGACAGGGATGCCCAAGGTCGGATGCCCTCGACTGGGTCTGCTGTGGCGGGTGCGTGGGGGGTGGGGAGTCAGGGTCCTAAAACTTCCCCAGGTGTCTCCGTTGAGTTGGCTGGGAGCCCCTCCCCCAAGTGCTTCCCATCTTTCTCTGCTGGGCTGGAAATGTGGTACCCACCCTCCATGAGACTGATCACTGCTGACTGTGGCTCAAGCACCCACCCTGTGGTCCAGGACTGGGCTCAGGAATAGCCTGTCCTTCAGTGTCCCCAGCCCAGGCACGTGATCTAATCATCTGAAACGCCTTTTAGACAATGTCTGTGCCCAGGCCATCCAGCCTGAGCCGGGCAGACTCCCTGGGGCCAGGGCCAGTGAACCTGTATTTTTCCTGTCTCTGGTAGTTCTGCCTCACACAAGTAGACGCTGTCAAGCACTTTCCTCTCTCACCTTACAAGTTGCATCATGCAGCAGCCCAGAGTCCCATTTGTAAGTTCACCATGTGTGGTGTGCTCTGGAGAGGTGAACAGCCACACATCTGCTTGGTTTGCTGTGCGTCACAGTGGGCCCACCTGGCTGAGGAAGGAGGGAGGCGGAGGGAGCCTGGGACCACACACACATCAGGGAGCTGTGACCAGCAAGGCAAGACAGCCTGTGGTGACTCTTAGACCCGGGCAGACCTGGTGCTGAGAAGGGAGATGGAAGAGTAGGGTGTTCTGCACCCACTTTGGGGTTCAGGAGATGGGGCTACCCAGGCTCCGCCTCTTCCCTTTCTCCCTTGAGGTCCTGGTCAAGGCACTTACTCAGGCAAAGCCTGAGCATGTGAACATGAAGGGCTCCCACCCCAGCCAGCCCCACTCAGGGACCAGGAGAGGACCACTCAAGGCAGCTGGCCTGGCTTCCAGCATGTGGAGGCCTCTCAACCATTCCAGGCAGGCTGTGGAGGGACCCAGGAGAAACAGAACCCCGCCCCCCAACCTGCTGGCCTCTCCTGCCCCAGCTCTCCCCAGGCTCCGAGGAGGACGAGGCCCATGAGGGCTGCAGCCGTGAGAACCTGGGCCGGATCCAGTTCAGCGTTGGCTACAACTTCCAGGAGTCCACACTCACAGTGAAGATCATGAAAGCCCAGGAGCTGCCGGCCAAGGACTTCAGTGGCACCAGCGACCCCTTTGTCAAGATATACCTGTTGCCTGACAAGAAGCACAAGCTGGAGACCAAGGTGAAGCGGAAAAACCTGAACCCGCACTGGAACGAGACCTTCCTCTTTGAAGGTGAGGCTGGAGCCGTCTCCCCACCATGCTCACTCCCACCCTCCACCATCCCACCCCTCACAGGGCCTCATGCAAGACATGAGCATAACATGACTGCAGACACACACATGCACAAATGCAATATGCAAGCAGGTACATGTGTGTGCATGTAGACAGATAGACATCATGCAAGAGTGCACTTGAGTGTGCACACACACACACACACACACACCCCTACACCTCCAGGCACAGGTCTTGGCCCATTTAACCTAAAGCATCTTGCATCTAACTGAGATTGGGTTCCAGAAGCTGAAAGCAGTCAGTACCACCTCCAGAGGCTGAGGACAAAAGCTGGGCACTGCCTGCAATTTCGGCCTGACTCAGTACTTACCCTGGGAAGTGCAAGACAGACAGGAGGCACCCATGGCATTCAGAGATGTAGCACCCTAGAGCAACCAGAGTGCTGTGGTGGAGGACACAGGCTATGCCCCCAGGGTACTTAGATTTGAATCCCAGCTCTTCTACTTCCTAGCTGTGTGACCTTGGACAAGTTCCCAAACTTCTCTGTGCTTTGATTTCCTCATCTGTAAAATAGAGGTAATAGTGAGAATTAAACAAATGGGTGAATTTTCAAAGTACTTAAAATAGTGTTTGGCACTCAGAAATGCTGATGCCAGTTTATTAAATATCCTGTAACAGGCCTCTGATTCTTTCCCCTCGCAGATCAGGAGGAAGGGCTCTGGTTCTAGCAGATGCTGAGGCAAAAGTCATCCCTCTCTCTCTAAGTCCCATCTTTATCTCTTGTGTCTGAAGACCCAGGTAACCAGGAAGCTGGGCATGTGATTAGGGAGCAATTTCTATCCCAGGGCCTGGTGGTACCGGCACCCCCCTTAGAGAAACCAGAGCCCTTCCCCAACAGCCTGCCTCTGACTCCACCCACCCGGTACCTAAGCCCTCCAGAACCCACAGTGCCCACCCCAGGAGCCCTTCCCCAACTGGAATCTGAGCCACTCTGCACCCCACTTGCTCTGCAAGGTAAGAAAGCAATGGATGCCCAAGTGTTTCTGGGCCCCTCTTCCCCAGGTCAGCACAGGGCTAGGTTAGAGATGGCAAAACCAGAGAGGCTTGGCCATCAGAGGTACATGCAGCCAGCTGATGGGCAAGGGTCATGAGCAGAGCCCCCTTGTCCCTTCCACCAGCGTTCATTCAGCACAACTGTGAGCTGGATGCCTGGAGTTCAGAATAGAGTAAGACACTGTTACGGCCCAGGCATCCCGGTCTACTGGAGGACGTAGATGTGTCAATAATTAAGCCACACACAGCATGACAGGTGCTATAGGAACACTACATGAGCTCCCCTTGTTGTGAAGAAGAAAATTTCCCCAAAGAGAAGCCATTTATGATGGATTCTGATGAATGCATAGGAGTTTGCTGGATAAGAGACTTCCTCCTCTGGTGTTGGAGAGAGCTGACAGATACAAGACATCACGGGACCACTGGCCTTTCCCCAGCATTTGTCCTTGGACTTTTCACCTAAATGATGCCAAGAGTTTTCTGGCCAGGGACCTTTGAGGCTTCCAAGATGAGCAATACACAACCCCCCTCAACAGGAGGAAAGGGAGACCCTGAATAATTCAAGGGTTTTCCTCTTCCAGCTCACCTGCTCCACTCTTTTCGGCCAGTGTCTCTGGTACTAGAGTCTCCCGGAACTCTTCCTTTCTCTTCACCTTCTCCATCGGTCCAGTTGATGGGGCCTCTTAGGTTCCCACTTCATTCCACTCACTCCTCAGTTCAGGGTCTCAGGCCACCCCAACTCTGACTGAGTCCCCCAGGGGCCAGTGACTCCCAGCTTCTGACCTTCCTCAGCTCCTTCTCCCTTTTCGTTCCTGCTGCTCCATCAAGCTATTTCACTGCCATCCATTCAATTATTTATTCTCTTAGCAAGTATTTATCGGTACCTACTATGTGCCAGAAATAGCATAAGGTGGGCGGAACCAGGTGTTGATCGCAGAAATGCCTTCCTGGAAGTCCTAGCCTAGTGGACAATGCAGACCATAATGAAGGAGACAGACAAGTCTATTACAGCCTGGGATCTGTGCTGGGAAGGGAAAGTGCTTGAGCATAGAACAGGGCATCTGACCCTCTGGGACGTCAGGAAAGAAAGCTGAAACCTGAAAATGACAATAAGCTGGGAGGGGGGCACAGCGAGGCAGGAAGGTCAGGGTAGGCCAGGGTTCAGAAAGGACAGGAAGGAGGCTGATATTGACCAGCCTCATCATTGAAAGGAAGAGTGTTCACGAAACACAGGGGAAGACAGCAGGGCCAAAGTGTGGAGGACTTGGAGCCAAGCTGGGGTGCTGGCTTTAATTCTAAGTGCACTGGGACATTGAAAGGCTTTCAGAAGGAGTGGACCGTGATGTGCTGCCTATTTTTAAAGATCACTCTGACTGCTGCACTGAGAATGAACCACTGGAGGAAGCGTGGAAGCGGGGAGGGCAGTTTGGAGACTCTTGCGGCTATCTAGGCAAGAGGTGCTGGTGGCTCGGACATGGGAGGCAGTGTGGGCCATAGGATCTGTTTAGGAAGAATGGAAGGACAGGCTGATGCCTTGGAAGGAAGCAAAGGGGAAGGTAGAGTCCCAGGTTGCTTGTCCATTCCTTCTGCACCTTTGCCGTTTCCCTCTCTGGATGCTTTCCGGTTTCTCCCTGCCCTCAGACCTCCTGGGGATGGTTTTCTGACAGCTGTGTGGCTTCAAGCAGAGCTACTTACCTAGACTTCCCTCAGGACCATTGGCAGTGGATTCCCAGAAAGTCAGGGGGTCACTTCCCAGACCCCAAAATGGATACATGATAAATGATTTAATGAATGGTTCCGGTTCTGCTGTCAGCTGTGGAGCTTTGCAATTTAAGCCATCTGAGCCTCAGTTTCCTCATCTATGAAATGGACACGATACTTGACCAATGGGCAGTGATTGAGGGGTCACACAAGACACAGTTCTTGCTAGAACTTCAGAAAGTCCCTTCTCAATCAAGTATGGCCTGATTGGCTTAGGCAGGGTGGCAGCAGTAAGAGATCTCCCTCCCTCCCTCCGTCCCTTTGTTCCTTCCTTCTTCCTTCCTTCCTTCCTTCCTTCCTTCTTTCCTTCCTTCCTCCCTCCCTCCCTCCGTTTCTTCCTTCTTTCCTTCCTTCCTTCCTTCCTCCCTCCCTCCCTCCCTCCCTTCCTTCCGTCTGTGGCCCCTCTGTCCCCCTCCTCACCTTGCTTGTGTCCCCCCAGGTTTTCCCTACGAGAAGGTGGTGCAGAGAGTCCTCTACCTCCAAGTCCTGGACTACGACCGCTTCAGCCGCAATGACCCCATCGGGGAGGTGTCCATCCCCCTCAACAAGGTGGACCTGACCCAGATGCAGACCTTCTGGAAGGATCTGAAGCCATGCAGCGATGGGAGTGTAAGCCCCTGCCCCCTTATAAGCCTCTGGCTGGAGGGGGCTACAGGTCAGGGCTGGCCGACTGGTCCTTGTTAATCCTCAGTCTTAGGATGCCATCAAGGTTTGGAGCAAGGTACAGGCGAGTGGGTCACACTGAGGGAGCAAGTTCCCCCCACTGGTCTTAGCACTGATGCTTGGTACTTGAGACAACTCTCCTGAGCTTCAAAAGACCCTGAGGTTTTGTTCAGGGAATTGAGGACCCTGGCAAGTACACAGACCTTCCAGAGGAGGGAAGACAGTGCAACAGTGGTGACAGAGGGTCCAGGTAAGCACCCAGGTCAGGGCAGAGGAGGCCTAGTGGCAGTTGAGCCAACCAGAGGGCTCTCTAGCTGTCCCCTCCCTGTTAGTCCCCATACCTGTTGTCCCTCCCAGCCCAGGGAGCAGCCCATCCCTCTCAGTGGCCCAGCCTCACCCTTCCTGTTGTCCCTCCTAGGGGAGCCGAGGGGAGCTGCTCTTGTCTCTCTGCTACAACCCCTCTGCCAACTCCATCATCGTGAACATCATCAAAGCCCGGAACCTCAAAGCCATGGATATCGGGGGCACATCAGGTGCTGGGGCTCCCCTCAGCAGAGGGTGGGCAAGGGAGTGTCTGGTGATGTGGAGCTCACTCTGGATATGGAAGGCAGGATCTGTGTCATGGCCCTTGTCCTTGGCTCCCACACCCCTGTCTCTGTTCCCAACTCCTCCACAAAGACACATTGGGATCCTCTTTGGGACCCCCTTACAGTCATCTTGGACTCTGTCCTGCACAGAATCAGGAAAATAGGGAACATTGTGTAGGGGGACCCAGGTTTGAGCTCCAGCTCCAATGCCACTTGTCTGTGACCTTGGGAAGACCTGGTCTCTTGGGCTCAGTTTCCTCCTTGGTATTAACACAAGGGCACTTGATGATAACCAGGGTCCTTTCTGGCTATCTTCTCATCCCTCTCATTCTTACTCAGGCCTGTCCTGGCCCTCTGGGGATGTACACAGTCTCAGCTTCCATACCTGAAGGGGCAGAGATCTCAGGGCTACCCCACACTGTCTCTCTAACCCTTCCCCTACCTCCCAGACCCCTATGTGAAGGTGTGGCTGATGTACAAGGACAAGCGGGTAGAGAAAAAGAAGACAGTAACAATGAAGAGGAACCTGAACCCCATCTTCAATGAGTCCTTTGCCTTCGACATCCCCACAGAGAAGCTGAGGGAGACGACCATCATCATCACTGTTATGGACAAGGACAAGCTCAGCCGCAATGACGTCATAGGCAAGGTAGGGCCAGCTGGGGGGCACACAGCTGGCACACACGGGGTCTGTTCTTAAGAAGCAACAGGTGTCAGAGAATTAGGTAACAGTGAGATGCTTGTCATAGCACCTGGGACACATATAGCAACTACTATTAAAATAGAAGTTATTTTTGAAATATTCCTCCCAGGGGAACATGCAGTCATGCATGTAGTAGAGGGACCAGTGATCACAGCAGGTGAAGCAAGTGGCTGGGGCTGTCGCCTTGTCCTAGGAAGATGGGAAAGGATGACCAGGCACCTGCTGAGCTGGAGGGATCCCTCATGCAGATGGAAAAGGAGAACTCAGTCAGCTATTGGGGGCGGGGGTGACACAGCCTGACCTTGGAGAGGGGAGGGTGCCTTGGGAGTGTGACTGTCCCACAGGTGGGACACCCCTACTCCAGCCAGACTGTATGCCCTGGACAGGCCCTGGTGAACCCCCTTGACTAGCTGGCCCACATCTACTTCTGTTCTCTTGCAGCTCACCCTTTTGGAATTGGGTATTCCTAGATATCAACAGCTACTTTAGAAACAGCCTGCCTTTTGAGGGCCTGGGTAGTTTAGGGAACCCAAGGACCTGAGAACTCTCTTGAGACCCAGGCCCAGCTCAGCCTCTGGAGGTCATGTCTGTGGGCATCAGACTGGGCTGAGATGGCAAATGGAGACCATTCCCAGAGCTGGGCAAGCACACAGGAACCCTAGAGCTCTGTGACCCTGTGGGAGTAAATAGCCAACCAGCTTCAGAGGAACAGAGCTGGCAGTATGTACACCATACCACCATGCCCACTGAGCACAATGTATGTGTGCCATTCATTGTCATTCCTCTCTTTTTTAAATTTTTTTTCAGTACTGGGGATTGAACTCAGGGTCTCATGCTTGCTAGGCAAGTGCTCTACCACTTGAGGCACCCCAGTCCTTTTGCTTTGAGTTTGTTTTTCAGGTAGGGCCTCATGCTTTTGCCTGGACCAGCCTTAGACTTCAAACCTCCTACCTCTCCCTCCCCTATAGCTGAGGTTACAGGTGCGCGCTACCACAGCCCATTTTATAGAGAGGCCTGAGGCTAAGAGAATTTACTTTGTTGGCCCTTACATGGCAGAGCTGGGCTTTGATCCTATTCTTTTTTTTTTTCTATTTATTTGAATAATTGTAGATTTATAGAAAACAATGGCAAAGACTGTATAGAGTTCTGCTCCCCCTTGCCCAGAGCCCCCAGTTGTTAGCCTCTTACATTGCAAGGTGCATTTGTCACAGTTTAAGGCACCAACGTTGGTCCCTTACTGTGAACCAAACTTGAGGTTTGCATTTCACCAGTCTTTCCATGGATGTGCTCTCTCTGTTCCAGGATCCAGTCCAGGGCACCACCTGGACTGAGTTATCATGGCGCCCAGATTCCTCTAGTCTCTGACAGTTTCTCAGTGTTACCTGGGACCTTGATGCCTTTGAGGTGCCCTGTCCAGGAGTCCTGTAGCTCCCACTGCTTTCTCCCCAGTGTCCCTGCTCTTAGCCTCCCATCAGTGCCCAGGCTGGGCTTAGTTGGGGCTACCCTGAGTTCTGGGGGATCCCTGTACTCAGTCTTATGAGGCTGTGCAGCCCTAACACAGGGGCGTAGCAGAATTGATAGTCTAGAGCCTCAAGGACCATCTTGAAATCCCCCGTTCCACGTTTAAACGCTGTGGCTGTGGGCGCATCTCTTAACTCTGCACCTTATTTTCCCCATCTGAAAAATGAGGCTAATGCTGCAGCAGGTCCACTTCACTGTTGTAAGGATGCCATGATCAATAGATATAGAGCCGCTGGCACAGGGTCTGGCAGGTAGGAAGTGCCAGAAAATGAGAGCAAATGCAACGGTGGTGAGCTAGACACTGCCCCTCCTTGTAGGGTAAGGGAAGCCAAGGGATCAAACTATTCTCCAGCCCCACCTTCACCCCCAGTGCAAAATAGGTCATAGTCCAATTCCAAAAGGCCAGACATGTCCAGGCCCCCAGAGGCAGCACAGACAGAAAAATAGGTCAGGCAGGCAGGCAGGGTGAGAGAGAAGGGGGCCTCTGTGAGCTGGGGTGTCATGGCATTGGAGCACTGCCCCTGGTGGGGACAGGGGCAGTGATCCAGACACTCCCCTAATGTGTCTCCTCTGTTTTCTTGCCAGATCTACCTGTCCTGGAAGAGTGGGCCCGGAGAGGTGAAACACTGGAAGGACATGATTGCCCGTCCCCGGCAGCCTGTGGCCCAGTGGCACCAGCTCAAGGCCTAACTGGGGCCGAGAAGGCCCAGGGGGCCAAGGCCCAGGTCCCCATCATGCCCTTGCCACTTTATGCACAAAGCCTGGCTTGGCCCCCCTGCCATGCGTGAGGGGAGGATCCTGAGGGCTCAGCCAGGGAGGGGTCCCGGGACTCATTTGGGCCCCATTTCTAGGAAGTACCAGCCCCACCCCCTCTGGTCCAGCTCAGGGGTGGTGCTCTGGCAGCCATTTTCCTGCTTTGCCCCTTTCCTTCCTGACTTGCTGATACTAAAGAAGTGGGGGAGAGCTCAAGAGCCAGATGGGCAGATCCCTCCAGAGGCCCGCCAGGTGGGCATGGTCCCCCGTTTTCTTTAAGGCAGTGCCTGGAGTGGAGAGAAGCCACCCCTCCCAGACCCCATTGTGGGTTCAGAAGAGGGGGGCCGAGGCGTTTGGCCCCGGCCTGGCCAATCGGGCCCGTCACCAGGGCAGTTTCAGGTGCCGACTGGGCCCTGAATGCCAAGGATAGTATATAGCCCACTCCAGGGTCCTGGAGCTGTGGCTCTGTGTACTTGTGTTGTGTCCACTCTGTGTATGCGCGTGTACGTGTATGTGGGGGGGGCATTGCTCCCTTTCCCCCTGGGGCTGGCAGTGCTGAAGGCTATGCAGAGAAGCAGGGTTTCTTGAAGGCCAGGTGGGGCTGGAGGTAGGAAGAAGTAAAGGCCACAGAGTGGGTTGGGAGAGAGGAGCAGGTACCTGCTGAATGGGAGGGGTCGAGAAGAGGGGCAGACTCTTCAGCTGCCTATCCTGCCATCCCACCTTGCCTCACCCTGTCCCCTCAGGTCCCCCTCTGCTCAGAGTCCTCCAGTAGCTCCTTTCCCAGTGGTGTCATCTCTTGGACATGGGTTTATACCTTGTAGGCACCTGCTGTGTGCATAGCATTGCATTGCACCAGGACTCACCTGCTCCCTTCCTTCTCAGGCATTCCGTGCCCTCACTTTCTCTTCCTGACACCCCACCCAGAGAATTCATTCCAGTCTAGTTGGTAATGTGTTCCATGCTCTCCATCCTTGCCCTTCCACATCTCTCCCTGCCAGTACAGACCCCATCCTCACTCCACCCCTCACTTGGAGACCTTCCCTGTCCTCTGTGTGGTTTCTTATCTTCCATCACCTGGCCTTCTCCAGGCTGTCTTTACACCTTCACTGCCCCTCTCTGGAACCCCAGAGCAGCTCCTTGTGCCTCTCCCACCCACCGTTCATGCAGAAGAAGCTGGGATTCCAGGCTTCTGAAGTTGTCCCACACAAACAAGCTGCTGTTTCTCCTCCCAGCTACTGCTGATACTAGAACTGACTTCCCCTTGGAGACAGCAGGTTCCAGGATGGTATCTGCCATCCCCATGTTTGTCTTGGTATTGATAAAAGACCCAGCTGGTGACAGCCTCATTCAGGGACTGCGAACTTGGGCCCGACATTCTTGGAACCCACCGCCAGGTGGCGCCAGAACATCACAGTCTTTGATGGGGGTCCTGGACCACAGCTCTACCCTGGATGGGCCTGACACCCTAAGGAAAGAGACTCTGGACTAGGTCCTCACAGCCAAAGCACAGCAAAACCATAGACATTTGGGAACTATTTTCCTTAATTAGGCTTCCCCTTGAGCTGAGTATTCTGCTCTATGTAGTAACCAAGCCACCTTTTGCCCATGACAAAATAAATTGGATTTCACACCCCATCCCCCAACCTCCTCCTGGGATCTGGAGGAATAACATAAGTAATAGGTGAATCGTTTTGTAGTGAAGAATGCCAATGTAAAGCAAAGAGTCACCCACATTCCTTGTAAATCCAGATGTTTCTATATTACAGCTTTGCTTTAAGTAGGGTCTACCTAGCTGCTGGGGTGGGCTGGGGAGCAGCCCCCAGTGGGGCCGCAGGAGGCTATAGGAAAGTAGGAGAGGGTGCTGTCAGGAGTCTTGAGAGGCAGTAGCGATCTGTCATTCTCCGACCCTTCCCTTCCTCGGACCCGCGTCAGTTTTCTGTGCCCCAGGACCCGTGCCCCAAGCCCCTGACTGGTGGGAGCCCCATGCCCTCCCCGGCCCAACCAACTCTCATCGAGTGGGCGGGCAAAGGCATGGAGTAGGCTTCCAGTCAGACTCCACCCTGGCACTCTGGTGACCCGGCCTGGGATTCCCCAAACCCCCACGCACAGCTTGAGCTCCTGGTCTGGCATGAGACAACAGATGGCAGGTAATATGGGGTGGGAGCAGGGAGGCCTAGGGCAATTGCAGAGCAGTGAATGGGGGAAGTTGAGGGGGGAAGGGCACCGGAGCCCTGCCACCATCCCAGGATCTTGGGCAAGTCACCCACACTCCCTGTGGGCCTCAGTTTCCCCATCTGTAAAATGATGGTAATAATACTTCACCTACCTCATAGGGGAGGTTGTGAGGCCACCATCACCTGACCTGGGGGTCAAGGCAGGAGGACTCTGAAGGTGCTACCCAGGAGCAAAGTATTATTGCCACAGCCTGGGAGCAAGGCCGAACTGCCCTTCCCCACAGAGCCTCCAGGGACAGCCCAGGCTGGCCAGGGCCCATCTGTCTCTTCACTGTGTCCCAGACCCCTTCATGAGAGTCATCTGCCACGTTTGTGGCCACCCCGGACTTAGTTGTTACCTTGTTCAGGCACCCCTTCTTGTGACCATCTCCTCCATGTAACTGCTGTACAAATTCCACCTGCCCCAGAACCCCTACACCTGTCCTCCAGCACCAGAGGCCAGGGAAGGGACAAAGGAAAACAGCCACACATACACATACAAAAAAAAAAAAAAAAAAAAGCCAAGGGAACTCCCAGCCCAGCTGGGGCCCTAGGGGTGGGGATTGGTGGCCGCTGTTTGTATTGTGTTTGAGTCCTTGAGTGCAAGTGTTTTATAAAAAATAAAACAAAAACCCACTGTCACAAAAAAAAAGCAGCAAAGAGAAATGAAGAAAAAAACCAAGAAAAAAAGGAAAAAAGAACTATACAAAAATTTTCCACCACACGTACCCTCTCTAAGCCAGCAAGATTTCCTCTTTGCAAAATCATATTTTTGTGGGAATGGGCCCTGCTTTTTGTGGCAAGGCCTGTTCTGATTAATAAACGATCGTGAAAAAAGTAGGGCCTTGGCTATTTCCTCTGTGGGTCCCAATACTCTCTCACCGTCCCAGGGGAAGAAGCAGCCGGTTAAGGGGAATGGGGAACCCAGGGCTGAGTCTCCCCTCACTCAGCTTGTCACCTTAGGGACTTGACTTCACTAGTGACCAAGCCCTGCCTGAGCTTCCAGCCCGTTCTCAGGTTTAGGCTGTGATCCCACCAGCTGACCAGAAAGCAGAAGCAACTGCATCTCCCAGGTCATGTCTGAAGCAAAGCTTGATGGAGTGGAGTCTCCTCCAGGCCTCAGGGTGCCGCTCAAACTCACCTAGATGAACATCTGCTCCCTCAGTGCCCAGGGGACTTTTGCCACCCTCTGAGGTAGGTCACACAAAGGGTGATCCTTTGCCTTCTCTACCACCACTATGATTTCAGATCACTGTCTCCTTTCTGGACCCTCTAAGGAAAGGACGGATAGACAGAGATTTGGTCTGTTGGCTTCTCCTGTGGCCTCTCTAGTCTAACTCTCTAAGATGAAGGTGGAAAAACAAACTCTCCGTAAAGCCCACTGCAAGCTCTACCCTGAGGGCCTGGGAAGCTACTTCCTTCCTCCTGCCCTCAGCACCCTGTTTTTTCTAAAAGAAGCAATAACTTCCAAACTGCTCATCACCTCTCCATCCAGCCCAGGAGCAGTTGCCTGGCAGCTCTCAGGGTACTTCAGAAGGGAAGCACATCTGTGTCAACAGTGTGATGGTGTATCTCCCTTGTCACATGTCCACTTGCTGGCCCTGCCCCACTCCGAAGTAAAGGGGCTACATACCTCTTGTTTCTCTGCACCTGGGGCCAGCACTGCTCCTCAAGCTGCACTAAGTACCCCCACACACAAAGCTACCCACCCTCTCCTTCTGCCTCCTCAAGTTCCTACAACCTGGTTTAAATATCCCTTTAAAAGGTGGATGTGGGCTAGGGTGTAGCTTAGTGTGGGGTGCTAGCCTAGTGGCTTACTCCCCAGCACCAGAAAAAAAAACATTTAAAAATATAAAGGTGATTGTTTCCTCTGGTCTTCTGATCTCTGTTCCAGAGATTGGAGGAAGCCCTGGGGTCAGGTAAGTAGCTTCAGAGGTACCCCCTTGCCAGAGCTGCTGTCGGGACTATCTCTGTGAAAACAGCCTGATACAGAGATCGCTCAGCTCTGCAGAGCTGGCTGTCCTATGCCATCAGCTCAGAACCTCTTCCCTGGACTTTGGCCTGTTACTCAGCTTTCACTTCTCTGGGGCTGTCTTCAACGATGCCTGCTGACTTACCCACCCACCCCTCCTTGCACTTGGGACGACTGCTGTCCTGTGTTTTCTTTGTCTGCAAGTCCCTCTTGGACACCACTGCTTCCTGGAAGGCCTTTCTACTCTCCTCTCCCTCCCCAGAAAGACAACCAAAAGGACAATGCCCGTATGCCCCAGCCTGTGGTTCCCCTGACCATCTGTTTCCTGTGAAGATATCCACTCCCTGTGTCTGTGTCCTGTGTGTGTGTGTGTGTGTGTGTGTGTGTGTTTGCAAGTGTGTGTGTTGTGTCTCTTTTAGATTGTGAGCCCCCCTGGGCAGGGATCCCTGTCTGAATACATGTTCTGTGTGGCACGCCCGAGTGTGCTAATAAATGTCCATCTTCAGAATAATAGTGCCTGGGTGTCTTGAGGAAGCTTTGGGACAGATGGTCAAGAAAGCCAGTGTGGTGGCACTGGAAACAGGGAGGTACCTCAGGAAGGCGGTACTCTCTTCTTTCCCTTTCCCAAGCTTCTGAGGGTGGGGGAAGGGCAGGGAATGGCAGTCACAAAGCTGGGAAAGGATCCTCTCCAACCCCAAAATCTCTGGTGCTCTGCTGGAGGTTTGGGGGCTGGGGGATGGGGAGGGGACAGGCTAAATTCTCATCCATTCCACGGGTAGGCTTACTTCCAGCTAAGGATGGAGTGAGCACTGGGTTAGGAATCCTCACCTCCCCCCTATAGTGGGCAAGTCACTTACCCTCCCGACCCTGTGTCTTGCTGCTGCCTCCCCTGTTCTGTTCTCCTCGTTCCCCACACCCTTCCCTTCTGCTCTGATCTGCCAAATCCCTTGGCCTCTGCCCCTGCATCCCTAGCACAACTCTGCCTCTGCCGGGGCCTCCCTGCCCTGCTCTCTACGCCTGCCACACACACCTCCGAATGCCCCAGGACAATGCGGGAGCCATAGACAAGGCTGTACTCACAAGCACCCCACACATCTTCCTTTTCCCTGCTCCCCAGACGCCAAGGGAGAAGTCACAGGGCATTGTAGGTAGAAAAGGACTAGGCGTCCTCCTCATACAGTGCTTTTTGACCACCGAGGGGAGCTGGGCTGCCCAGTGGCCTGGCAATAGCCCCTCCCTGCCCAGTCACCCTCATTTCCTTGTGGAAATAGATACCCTTGAAAGCCACACATTAGCACCCACTGCAACCAAATTCTAACTTTCTAGAAGGAACTGGCTCTGCTGGTGGACAGTGAGTGAGTAGCAAAGGAGCCTTGCCAGTCTCTCTTTCCCAGGAGAAACAGCCTCCTAGCCCCTGCTTGGCTGGCAAACGGTCATAGATAACGGTGTCAAGCTCACAATGCAAAAAAAAAGAGGGCCCCAAATGCCTCAGGATGGCCCAGGGGAGCCAGCTCACCACAGGGTCTTTGCTCTGACCAGGAGGCCTTCTTTGAATCAGCACATCAGGGAAGGAGGTAAGGAAAACAGACCAGAGAGAAGGAAACCTGAGCCTCTAGTTCTGCATAAAAGAGAGACACATAAACAAGGGATACGTGACTGTTGAGCTGCAGTATCAGACTCAACTAAGCCCAACAACTTGTGTACAGTTGGAGAAACTGAGGCCCTGGAGGCCACAGTTTAGTCAAGGTCACTCAGTCAACAGCAGGAAGATGATGTGGTCCAAGCCTTCTGTCCTCATGCCAGGACATTTCCCTATATCCCACGCAAGTTACCGGTCAGGACAGTCCCTGGTGGCTGCAGCTCCTAGCCAACTGATGTGATCACGTGACCCCCCATTCCTTCCTCCAAATTCCCAAACCCAGGAAGCCCACTGCCCCCGATGAAACCCCAAAGGGGACAAGTTCTGCAGCAGAGCCCGACAGGTCTTCCTCCATCTCCCTAATCCTCTTTCAGTCTGTCCATGGCCTTCACTGACTGCTCCAGATCGGTGCCCAGCCTACTCCTTACCCAGGGCCCAGCCTAGCGTGCCTGGCCTTTTGGCCCTGATGACATCAACCCCTGTTGCCATGGTGATGCAGGCTGCCAGATACTCTCAGGGGAAATGGGCCTCAAGGCTGGAGGTTTTACAATTTTCTACTATTCTTTAAGTCATTTTCCCCCTAAACACTGAGGGAGAAAGTAATGCTGAAACTGAGCAGGGAGAGAGAGGGGAAGAAGGAAATGAAGCAAGAAACGGAAGGAGGCTAGTCACAGAGCAGGAGGGGGCAGTTGTGATGAAAGAATAAAGAAAAGTCAGCCCAGCAGGACCTGGGAGATTTGAAAACATCTAAGACTCTGGAACCTGAGAATTAAGCTGCAGAAGACCCTACAGCCCAACCAAGGGAGTGGGACGAGCTGAGAGGAGGAGGGGAGATACCCAAAAACATCTTGAAACCCTCCATGAATGGTCAAAGCCATTCCCATCTGTCGATGAGCACTTGTTCACCAGACAGGCAGGACACAGCAGCTGGCCAGGGTCATCCTGACACAGAGCCAGGACATGTGGATGGGGGCAGTGCACCCACGGCAGTGGGACCTGGTGCTCCCATGGCTTATAAATAAACAGGCATGTGGGAAACAAACATTTTTTCTCCCAGAAATATAATTTATGTTTACAGCCATTTTTTTTTTCTTCTTCTTCTTCTTCTCCTAAAGAAAACACTACAATGTGGGGCTCCAGCCCCTGACAATGTCCCTGAGTGTCCTCGGCCCTGGCCCCCTCCTCCCATTATTGCTTGAGTGGGAAAGATCTGGTCCTGGGAAACTGCAGAGCACGGGTGTCTTCTCACCCCCTCAGGGCTGTCCCTGGTGACGGAGTGGAGACACACAGTGCCCGTCCTGTGGCCCACACCACCCCAGCCACCCTGACTGTGCCCATTTAAGGGAATGGAGAGTGCAGGCATCAGCAGGAGAGGCGCTGAGCAGCCTCCCAGAGTGTAGAGCCCCTCTATTTGGGGCAGGAGGCTCTGGAGGCACAGTGGCTTCTTTTCAAACTTGACAGCTTGAGGGCACAGGCTGTGGGTAAGGGAGAGAGAGCTCTCTGCCCAGCAAGATTCCAGGCACATGCCGGGAGAAGAGACCAGATTGACAGGTGGGGCAAGAGACCCTGCCTTCTGGGCCCTATGCAAACATTAGGGGTCTGGGGAGGGAGGTAAGCAAAGATGTCCTGGGGGAAGGGTAAGGGCAGCTATGGTGTGAAGTCCCAGTCCCTCTCCCTCTTCTGTCCTGGGCCTATGCTCCCACTCCCATGCTCTGCCCCTCTGCCAGGCCTTCCCACTAAGGGAAGTTCTTCCTTACACAGTCCACCCCAGAGGTAGTGGCTCTGGCACCACAAAGGGTCTATCCAGATTCAGTGAGTGGTAGGATTCTGTGGAGAGCAGTGACCCTGGCTCCAGGAGGAAGCTGGCACCGCTTCTGTGTCAGCAGCTCTACCCCAGACTAGACAGAGCCCAGACTTCTTGATCTGAAGACTGCTCAGAGGTCAGCCTAGGACAGTCTTCTCACTAACCAAGAGTGTCTAAAGATGGCCCCAGGCTTCATCTCTTGCCACTGCCCCAAGGGAGAGGCCAGTGCCCAAAAATCCAGGCAGCCACGGTCTCCCAGAGCCCCTCCTCCCAGAGTGGCAGAAGCCCATCACCCAGAGTAGAGGTTCTCAGGTGCCCAGTCCTGGAGCGCCTTCCAGGGCGCGGAGGCTGTCCCCGGGGGGCCGCAGGGCCCGGGACCCAGCGCCCCCTATGAGCAGGTCTTCTTCCTCTTCATCGTCAAAGACCCTTGCTGGGCGCCGAGGCGGCGGCCGGGGCGTAGGCTCGTCGCGCTCTGCCATGCGTTCGAGTGCACCCTCACCCACGAGGAAAACGGTGTCTGCAACTCGCGGGGGTCCGGTGACCGGGTTGTGGTCGTAGGAGAAGACGCGCAGCGCGCGCAGCGGGTGCAGGTCGGGAAAGCCGCCCAGGCGGTTGCGGTCGAGGTCGAGGATATGCAGGCGGCCCATGCGCAGCAGCGCGGGCGGGAACTCCTCGAAGCGGTTGCCATACAGCCAGAGGCCGCGCAAGCCCGTCATGCGTGGCAGCTCTGCGGGCAGCGCGCGCAGCCGATTGTCGCCCATCTGCAGCGATTGCAGCGCCACTAGGCGCAGCAGCGGTCGCGGAAAGCGGCGCAGGAAGTTGCCCTCGATCCAGAGGCAGCGCAGGCTCTGCAGCTGCGCGAAGTCAGCGGGCAGCGCCAGCAGCCGGTTGCCACCCAGGTAGAGACGCGTGAGGCGCGGCAGGCGACACAGGCCGTCGGGCAGGCTCTCAAGCTTGTTGAAGTCGAGCGCCAGGATGCGCAGCTCGCGCAGCTCCTCGATCTCCTCTGGCAGCTCGCGCAGCCCCGTGCCGCTCACGTACAGCTTCTGCAGGCGGCTCAGCGCGCACACAGCGCTGGGCAGCCGCCGCAGCCGCCGCCCGCTCAGCTCCAGCTGCTGTTCGCCGCTGCGCAGCTGCTCCTCTGCGTCCGACGGCAGCTCGTCCGGAGTGGACTCGGCGATGCCCATGGTCACGGGCCCCAGCTGGGGCCACCGTCGCCGCAGCCACCGCCCGGCATCGCCCCGCCCCGGCCGCCCCCCGGCAGCCCCGACGGAGCCCGGGTCGCGCTGGCTTCGGGGCCCCCCGCCCCGGCCTGCCCCCGCCGGGAGGGGGGCCGTGCCGGGCCGGGAGGAGGCGCCCGCCCGGGGCCCCCGCCGCCGCGCGCCGCGCTCTGCCGCCTGCCCGCCGGCCTCCCCCTGCCTCCGCCGGAGGCCGACTGGCTAGAGTTCGCGCTGACTCGCAGCTTAGCGACCCGTCGCCCGGCAACCCCCGACGCGCTCGCGGCTGCCAATGAGGCAAAGGGAGGGCGGGATGGGGCGGGGCCAAGGCGCCTCTCCTGCGGGGTCCCTGCGCGCGAGCCCGCCCCCTGTCTGCCCATCCCGCCCACCTGCAGCCAGCGCGAGTCAAGAGTTCCACTTCCAGCAAGCCTGGCAGTGTTCGAGCGCAGAGACCCGACGTCCGACGGTGTCTACACCTCCAGCTACGGCGGGCCGATAGGTGCATTTGTGTGCTTCCCAGGGTCGCGAGCCCAGAAGAAGGAAACCCGGGACTGAGGAAACGCCAGCGCGGGTCCTCCAGGAGGGGCTGAGGCGCGTGATCACTGCCTCCAGTTCACGTCCAGCTGCGTGCTACCAGTCTCCCTGAGGGGTCACTTCACCATACTAACTCGGAACAATGTTACTTTCTGGCTTTAATTTTTAACGTGAAGATTTGCTGGGACTCCGGTTGTGGCCCTTTCCTCGCCCAGTACCGTCCCCACTAGTGCACTTACACCCCGATCTCCTACCTCCTCCGCTCCAAAGATGCTCAAGGTCTGTGTGTGACTGCAGTGGACAGAGGACTGGGACAGGTGAACGCCTTTCCGAGCCACCAACGATGACCACCCTCTCGGTCTGTGGCTCTTCTTGCGCATGTTCCCACCACCAACCCTTTGACTGCCTTCTCCCCTCTCATTAAGAGCCCTCTTCCAGGACTGGCAGAAGCACGCACTCCCATTCGTTAGGATCTGCCATGTGCCCACACAAGGCTAAAAGCTTTGCATTCCGTCCTTGCCACAGCCACCTCCCCAATTTCAAAGACAGAAAAACCGAGGCTCAAAGAGCTTTGTCTTGAGCTGGTTGACTCAGCTGGGTGACTCTCCCAAAGTCACTCCACTGGTGAGCAGCTGGGATTTGAAGCCAGACAGTGTGACTCAAGAGCCTGGGCTCTTAACCATACACCAATGCTCACCCCACCCCAGCAATGAATTTTTCCCCAACAGAGTTTCAATGCAAAGCCATCAGGAAGGCATTACCTATAGAAAATCGAGAAAAATGTCCTCACAGATATTGGGCACCCTGCTCAAGGTCATAGAGCTAGGAGAGGTTGTAGCCAAGGAGCAAAGTCTACAGGTTCCTTGTTCCTCCACCTGCTTTCTCTGGAACCTGGCTGCTGTGATCCATGTAAAGTGGCTGAATGGACACCCCTCAGTGCAGCACCAATGTCCTCCAAACCGTCCCCACCACAATGAAATGTTTTAAGTTAAGACCGTGGAAGCCTGTACGGTGTGCACAGGTCCTCTGGAGGCAGACAGGAAGATAGCTTGAGTCAGGAGTTCAAGACCAGCCCGGGCAATATAACGAGATCCCCATCCCTCCCCCCTCCAAAAAAAAAGAAAATAGAGGTCAGCGCGACATATAGTGAACTGCGTGGATCCTAAGTGCAAAATTGGATATAGTTTGTGAATGTAGATCCCATGCATTTCCATCACTCAGGAGTTCCTTCAGACTCCTCCGTCTCCCAGAGGCAACTGTGATCATGACCTCTGTTTTTGAATTTCATAGAAATTAAAGTGTTCAGCATACCCTTTATTGTTCCTGGCTTCTTTTGCTCTGATAGTCAATATACATTTGTGAAAAGGCAGAACAATAGCACTTGTAATCAGGCAAGGGGTGTCTTGGGATGAGCAGTTATTGGGGACACAGAGGCAAGTGTTCTATCTAAACCAGGACCCGGGCAAGGAAAGGCTGACAAGATGAAGTTGGGACTCTAACCAAAGTAGGGAAACCAAGCCAAGAAAGAGCAAAGCCCAGACATCAGATCTGGGATGGACAAGGATTCTCACCCCCAGCCAGAGCGGCTTCAAGGTCCTACCAGTCTTTCTTAAGACCCAATCCAACACTCTCCCCTCTACTCATTTGGGAGGACTTCACAGAGGAAGTGAGCACTTGGAGACCAGAAAGCTGGAGAAAACCCAGCCAGGCAGATTAGGAGGAGGTACCTCCCCCTCTCCAACCCCAAGCAGCTTCACCAAGGGACATTCGCTGTGAGGAGGAAGCCCAGCCAGCTCACCCTCGCCACATACCCTGGGTGGCACTCCAGTACCAGGCGGCCCTCCTGGGCTCTTTGGGCATAGGCAGCAGCCACATGGGTCCCTGTACTCCAGGACCTGCCTGGCATAGCTCCTGGGGCTGAGAGCGTGGAGGTTCAGCCCTCTTCTTTCTCTGAGTTTTTTTCTTACTCTCGGTAGATTCTGTACCTGCGCCTCCCACCAGGCCCTTCTCTGTGGGTAAAGGTAAAATGTGCTGGCGTTCGGGGCCCACGCAGGCTGGCAGCAGGGCAATCTTCATGATGAATCATGCTGGCACTGCAGGTGCCCAGGTCCTGTTGAGGCATCACTAATGAATTAGCTTCACCGCAGCATGGAGCCTCTCAGCCTTTCCCCACTCCCCAGGAAGGCAGGAAACAGAGACCTGAGAGGGGAGTAAGGGAGGGGGGGCAAGGGCTCGCATAGCCCCAAGTTCAGGCCTACACTTGGCCATGGCCTCTGCCCACACACTGCAAAAATACCCAAAGTGTAAGTCTCAGTTCCTAATCATAAGCTACAACTCTCGTGCCCATTCCAAATCTGTACTTTGTAAAGAATTTTTGAAATACAGAAAAGGTACAAAGCTGTATGTGATAAACACCCCTGTGTCCAGGCTCTAGCATGGACAATTGTTCACATTTTGTCATATTCACTCTAAATCTGTTTTCTTTTCAAGAAAGAAAATAGCACACGTCACATAGAAGACGCCTTCCGTCTCCTCTGCTGTGTCCCCGCAGGCACCCTTGCCCCCTCCATGCTAATGCTGCCAAAACCCCCCTTGGTGTCCCCCTTCCTGCTCTGGTCCAAGACCACAAGCTGCTGAGACTTGAATAAGAATCATGGAAAGCCAGCCCCATCTTAGGTTCGTAGAAAGCAAGATTTGAGCCTATTAGAGCCAACCTCGAAATGTCAGTGCAGGGAGGGGGCTCAGCTCCTCTGAGAGGCCACAGATGGCTAAATGTCTGAGGTAGCTAGGGACCCTCATCCCAGAAAAGTGTGTCAAGGCAGCCACTCACCCAATGATGCGCACAATTTCCATGGATTCAAGATCTCCAGCGGTCTCATCTAATTCTCTCATTTGGCAAAAGGGAAGCGATGGTGTCCTTCGTGTGGGCTTCACTCCCCTTACCTGCACCAGCCAGAACTTGACTCTTGGGGTCCTTAAGGTATTCATTCAACAAACAGAAAGCACTTCTAGGTCCAGGCCTAGGCCCCAGGGGATTACTGGGAATGTGAACTGCTTGCACGAGGTGTGATCCAAGGGGTAGAGACTTGCCTAGCAAGCACAAAGCCCTGAGTTCAAACCCCAGTAGTGCCCCAAATCTCTGCTTTTGTGGACTTATATTCTTGCCAGTGGAGACAATCAACCAGATACACATCTGCTATGGCCAGACTGTGGGGGAAAGGAGGAGAGAGGAGTGAGGAATGGGGTGGGGTGAGCTGCCATCTACAACTCCCAAGGCAGTGGCCAAGGCACACACTTTGAGAGTGAGGGTGCCACCAGGCAGACGACTGCAGACGGTGCTGTGTTCCTGGTAAAGAGGACACAGAGGGGAAGGGGGGCAGGGCTGGGCTTCCAGAACAGCAAGGGGCCTGGCTACTGGGGCCCATGGAGCAAGGGGGAATGCAGCAGCAGATGAGGTGGCCCATGGAGGGCTATCCTTTGGCCTTGACTTTGGGTAGGAGGTCATTGAAGGACTTGGAGCAGTGGTTACAGCTGCAGGAATGGTGTGTGCGTGTGCCAGGGGATGAAGTGTGTGCACCTTGTACCCCTCTCATCTTGGTTCTCTCCCACATGATGATGAGAGTTGTCACTTACTGAGCTCCTACGGGTTGTCTAATTTATCCTTCACCCGGCTCTGCCAGACAGGTACGAGATCCCCGCCACCCTCCTCTCACTCTGTAATGAGATAACAGATTCAGAGAGGGTAAGTAGCTTGATTAAGGTCACACAGCTGGCAAAGACAAAGTCATGGTGCAAACCCAGCCCATCTTATCACAAAGCCAGGGCTTTTTCTCCTCTGGCTCGTTGCCTTTCTCAGCTGGGAGAAATCAGAGAACCCAGCTGGGGTGCCCAAATGTTTGCCCTCATCCTGAAAACAGCAAAACAATTTCTAGGAGTGCCCTACTGGGATATTTTGATGTTGGATGTTTTCCGAGAGAACAGGAGTGGCAGAGAGCCACACTGTTCAGAGTGGGATGGAGTGCTTAGTGAAACCCACAGGATAAGCCTAAGAATCACAAAACATGTTCAACAGGACACAGCAAAGAGACCTCCAAGTCCAGGGTCACCCAAGGCCTGCAGTCTAGACCCAGGGTTCACTTGACAGTGAATTCCAGGCAGTCTGTGGCCCACTGTTAGCCCAGAGCCCTTCAGGAGGAACCCAACCCAGCAGGCCACTGGCAATCTGCTCCTCCACCCTAAGAAACCAGAGCCTGGGGATCGTGTTTGTCTGGAGTCCTACCTCTGCAGTACACGTCTGCCCTGTTGAAAGCTGAGTCCTCTCCTGTCCCCGCCTAGGGGACACCAGAGCTAGAGTGACAGAGGCCAAGGGAATGTGGGGAAGATGGGAGGCTGACTTGGTGCCCAAGGCCAAGCTTCCATGCTGTGGACAGGAACTGGACCATCCTAATGGGTTCTGGTAGGCC